AGATTAGGAACTGCAGAGAATCTTTGTTCCTAAGAGATTAGTGTCCCACACAGCCTGTCTCCCCACTGCAATCTCACCATTTTTCTTCTTCTTTCTGAAAGACCCCTATAAAGTTTAAATATTAGTCAAGGGCTGGGTGCTTGTGAAGTTGCAGAGATTAACTCAACAGGATGGAAGACATCCACCCCAAGTTCATTTGGCAAATTGTCCCTCCCCTCAAGCACCTCCCCCCTTAGGAATACCGTGGTGCCTACAGTACGGGCTGTCTTGATAAGATCCCTTTTCAAAAGGAGATGATTTTGTATTCTATCCCCAAACTAGAGGAGGTAGCCACATCCCCCATCCTGCTTAGGGAGGAGGAATGTTTGAGACCTCCTGCCATGCAGCGTTTTCTCCCCAAGCACTTTCTTGTCACCTCCTGCCCTGACCTCTCCTCCCCTTGGTGAAAGATAATTTTCTTCTCTGGGGTCACTGTAGGGTCTTTATTCTGTAATCCTTACCTATCTCTGAGCCACAAAGGTTTTGTTTGCTAGTCTTCCTTCCTTTCATAAATCAATCCCCTTTATCCTTTAGTCAGGTTGCTTGTGTCTGCCTGTACTCCCAGGGGCCTTACCTGGTACCCAGCCTGCCTCAGGTGTTCTGGGGGAGAATTTGAGATTAGGGGCCTAGCAGTTTAGGGTGACGTTGAAATGTCACCTGGCACTGTGATCCTGAAATCCTTATTGAATTGAGTAAGATAAACCAAATGTGAAATGTTTATTTATCAGGACATCTCAGTATATCTGGAACATTCACATATTAACAAAATGTTCAGACGCTTAAAATCCTTCCTCTGGCAACACAGTTTGGGTTCTCCTTATATGACACCATCCTGGATAGCAGTTCCTCTGTGAGGAGTCAAGAGTATCAATTCCTGAAGTTACCTTTCCTGTTGCTCTTCCAACTCTACAAAACCAACTGGGAGCGTGTCTCCTTTCTATGAGATTCCTGGGCTGCAGGGGAGATTGGTATGCATTGTGGAATGTGTAGACTGAGATAAGATTGGAGGGCTGATGAATTGGGCCATTTTCTTGACTCAAGAATTGAATAATTGTTGAGCACTTAACTATTTTCAGGCACCAGTGATATGCCCTGGGATTCGAAACATGAAAAAGTCTCCATCCCGGGCCTCCCCGGTGGCGCAGCCGTTGAGCGCTGGGTTGCGAAGCTGCCCGCAGCCTCTGCAGCGCCGGTTCGATCCCCGGCTGCTCCCCGGCCACCGGAGGAGGATCCCACATGGTGCGCAGACCTCTCCTGCCACCCGCTGCTCCCCTCAGCAGTGTACTTCAGTCCTTCTGCCTGCTCTGCTCCCCGCTCTGGCTCTGGTGAATTCTCTCACCCTCCCGCGCTTCTGACTGTACCCAGTGCATGTATAAACAAAACAAACAAACAAATATAATAAATAAATAAATAAAAACATGCCTCTATTAAAAAGAAAAAAAGAAAAAAAAAAGTCTCCATCCCTACTCCTCTAGAGTACAAGAAGACAGAGAAAAAGAAGCAGATAGTTATAATACAAGAAATGAGTGCCAAAATTAGATATAAACAAAATGGCCTGAGAGTACAGAGGAGATTTACAAGGCAGGGGACAAAATTTTTCCTTCTGTGCAGGTTGATAGAGCTTACCTGGCAGACGCATTATCAGGAATAAGTAAACACCTGTAAAAGTGATGGAAGAACAGGCGACATTTGAAAGATGGGCGTTTGCCAGGTAGAGAGTCAGCACAGGGAGGAAGGTTACAGATGGATATGTCAGGTCCTGGGCCTCCCCTCATGGCTCAGGTGGTTGAGCACCGTACTGTGAAGCTGTCCGCAGCCTCTGCAGCGCCAGTTTGATCTCTGCTGACTGGCGAGGTCCCACATGGTGAGCAGACCTCTCCTGCCTTGCCCGCTGCTCCTCTCAGCAGTGTATTTCATTAGTCTACCTGTTCTGTTCCCCACTCTGTCTCTGGTGAATCCTCTCACCCTCCCACACATCTTGCCTGAACCCCAGTTCTTGTATAAAATAAATAAATAAATCCTTAAAAAAAAAAAAAAAAAAAAAAAAAGGCAGGTCCTTACCCTGCTGAAATGTTCTCAGAATTAAGTAAGGTTAGAAAATAATTGGAAAGTAAAAGCACAGTTTAAGGATCAGGTATTGATATCACTTGATTAAGCTGTTCACGTGAAGTCAGAAGCCTGGTTAAAAGCCGGAGGAGGGCCTCCCCTGGTGGCGCAGCGGTTGATCGCTGGGCTGCAAAACTGCCCGCAGCCTCTGCAGCGCCGGTTCCATCCCCCGCTGCCGGTGAGGGTCCCACCTGGCGCACAGACCTCTCCTGCCGCCCGCTGCTCCCCTGAGCAGCTCCCCTTCATCAGTCTGCCTGTTCTGTTCCCCCTCTGGCTCTGATGAATTCTCTCACCCTCCCGCGCTTCTGACTGTGCCCAGTGCTTGTATAAATAAATAAATAAATGTTAAAAAAAAAAAAAAAAGCCGGAGGAGAGGGACACTTTTACAGGTGTTTAAAAAAACCCAAAATTCAACTGAATAAATTTGAAAATCAAATGGTTTTAGCCACTGAATCCCACCTAGGAGCATCCCATTTAGCAAGTAGGAAGGCCTCAGAAGAGCTGTAAAAGATGAAAATTTTTATACTTAGCCCAAGAGGGTGAAATAAGGTTATTAACAAAAGAAAAAAGAAGTTATTTCAAGCAAAACCACCTTTTCTCCAGGCTGTCTTATTCAGATTATCTCACTAGTGCTGACCAGGAAATTCCACCTTTGGGAGAGGTTGCGATTGTAGTGAGGGTGGGTATTTAGTTTTGGTGGGTCTTGACATAAATGACTCAATTTGGGTTTCCTTTTCAGCACATGTGTGATGGCATCCCAGTCACTGTTTCAGGCAAAGAAGAAGCAAAGGATTTTGATCCCCCCCCTCCCCTTCCTTATTCTCTACTTCATGACCACCAGGAAACTGAAAGACCTGTTCCTGTGGCAGAGACTCTGGAGGTGGCTTAGGAAGTGTGGCAGTGAAACAGAGGGCCCCTCTACCCTAGTGCTCAACATCTGAGCCCTCCCCCAGCCCCTGAAGGTTCCACAGTGTTGGGGGTCTCTGTGACTCCTAGGAATAGAGCAGTTAAAAACCCCTGCTCACTAGCCAAAGAAGACTAAGGCGGGTAGCAAATAAACACAAGAAAACATGCTCCACATTAGGGAAATGCAAATCTAAACCACAATGACATTCCACCGCATATCCATTAGCACTGTGACACTCTGGAAGCTGACAGAGGGAAATGCGGGTAAGGACCAGGTCTCACCCATGTTGCTGGGGTAATACACAGTGATCTCGCCAGTTTGGAAAACAGTCTGATGTCTTCTATGAAACATTTACCTTAAGACCCAGAATCCCACCCCTGGATTTACTCAGGAGAAATGAAAAGCCCGCTCAAAGATCTTTACAACCCAGGCAAAGACTTTTATGCAAGTGTTTACAGCAGTTTTATTCAGAGTTGCCCCAAATTGGGAGCAATCCAAATGTCCAGCAACATGATGTTACCATAACTTCAGGGTTTCAGGTCCAGTCTCCCAGCCAGGAACTGACCCCCGGCTGCGGTGGCAGTGCTGAGCCCCAGCCACTAGACCACCATGGGTTGGTGTCTCACAAAGCCTCAGCAATAACTTCGCTGATGCTCAGGCAAGCAAGCAAAAAAGAGGCAAATTGTTTACAAAAATGGATGTAAGGAAAAGTTCATTAAGGAGAAAAGGAACAGAAACAAAGTGGGACTCCCAGGCCCTTGGAACCAGGCCAGGGAGGGGCAAGGAAGCCAGTGGAGTCTTGCCTCATAGAATATAGACCTTCTTTCCCTAATTATTCTAAAGCCCCCATCAGTCTCTTTGTCATTGGTTAGTTCTTGGTGGTCTCCCTCACTCTGCCTTAATGTCTCTGAGCCCAGAATTAAGTCTTGCTTCACAGCCCTTATCTCAGAGTCCTGTAAATGTTGCCCTTGTCCGGGAATGTCCCGTTGCCCCTAGTCCAGGGGGCGTGTTTGATTAGTCCCCTTTGGAATTTGTTGCCCTTATCTCTGGAGCCTTCCTTATTCCTCCAAGGCTTTTTCCTATTCTAATCTGACCCTAGAAGTGATCGGCTTGCCCTTTGACTCAATAAGTCTCAAAAGCCTTTGTAAAGAGGAAAAAGCCAGCTACAGAAGACTACATGTTGTTTGATTCCATTTCTGTGACATTCTGGAAACTGCAAAAATACAGGGACAGAAATCAAATTAGTAGTTGCTGGAGGTGGGGGAAAGGTACTTACCTCAAGAGTGCTATGCACAAGAGAACTTTTTGGAGTGTTGGAAATGTTCTACAGTACAATGAATAAACAACAATAAGGTTTGTCAAATCTCATCAAACTGTACACTTCGAAAAGTGAATTTTGCAGCTCTTTCTGTCCACTTGTGTCTATGCAAGTGTCCTTTATTCTTCTATCTCTTTTCCTAATAAACCTGCTCCTTAAATATAAAAAAGAAAGGAAAAGTGAATTTTACTTGATGTGTTACCTCCTTAAGCCTAAGTAACAAGAGACTCCCCTAAACTTCTCTTGCCCCTAAATCAGACTCATCAAGATGACATCCAAATGACCCAATTGCTCAGGTTTCCCCTTGATCTTACAGCACTTGAAAACAAAGTCCAACTCATGCCAAGACCAGCTGCTGAGCCCCCCGCCCCCAAGCTAGTGCCCACACTTCAATGCCTACTTCTGGCTTCCAGCCCTGATCAGGGCAAACTCTAATTTGTAGCACATAATCCCCATTTATAACCCATTAACCTAGCCAAACTTTCTCAACACTGGGCTGAGCTAGCAGGGTCTCTGGCTTGTCCATTTCAGCCCCATCCTCAGGAGCAAGAATACTTCTGCTTATGTGGAGAGGTGTCCTGCAGCCTCATTCTGGCCCCTGAGAGTACGTTTGGGGGTCTTTCATTTCAGTGCTCCTCACATGGGTCAACTGCTCCAGTGTGCGGTGGGCCACCCGGGTTCAAGACATATTCACCGCTGGGAAGCTCCTGGCCCTCGCTCTCATCATCATCATGGGGGTTGTACAGATTTGCAAAGGTGAGTGGCATTGGAATAGTGGGGCCCCACCCAACTCTCAGGCTCTTGCATGTACACACCCCTTGAACTGCCTTGGACTGTGTACACACCCTAAGATTTCCTACTTCTGACCTTGGATGACATTTCTTCTTCATTTGCTTGACGAGGAAGATAAATCATTTTCCATGAGGTGGTTGGAAAGAGGGCATGTCTTATCCCCACCCCCCTGATTTGCAGAGTTCACTCCTCCCAGGCTGACCTCATAGCGCCAGCTCAGCTAGGAGAATATTCCAAATCTCTTGACTTCTGTTATCCTCTTGTCCCAACCCCAGAGACACTCCCTGCATCTTATATTGTATCTTGTCCTTATCTTAAAATTGGAGATGGAATTGGAGATTTCACATTTCAAAATTCTCATAATCTCTAGGAGAGCTCTGCATTCCTAGGACCCCTGCCAACATTCCCCACTGGATTTGGTCCTTTCCAAGCCTGAGCCTGCATTTGGTTTCCATGGGACCCGTGGCACCACTAGGCTCTGCCCAGTGTCTCTGCTCCCTGAGAAAGTCAGATGACAAAGAGGGAGTCAGCCCTCCCACCGCCCACAAGCCCTAAAGGCAGTGCCGGGTGCCTGGGTTTTTACTCCAGGAAACATAATTAAGGCTCTGCTATATAATGTTCCTGATTATTTTAATCAGTTGGATGAAGTTCTTTAGCCGGTTATGTTGTCTTCAGGAATTTCACCGTAAGGGAATCCCTGCTATCTTTGCAAAGATAGTGAGTGCCTCCTGACATGGCTCTTGAGCTGTCTCTTGATCACACTAATCTCTTTATTTCCTGCCTAAATGCTGCATGAATGAATCAACTATAGGCAGTTACTTTGTGTCTTATTACAACCTCATCAGCAGCCTTCCTTGAGAACCCACTGTGTGCAGGACCCTCGGCGAAGGGCTGGGAAAGCAACCGAAAGGTCTCTGAAGGACCCCAACCTTAGGGAATTTATACTGTGAAAAGGGAGATGGAACACAACCCTTAGAAAGAGACAAAAGGATATTGACAAAGAAAGCAGATCAAGCTTGAACAATATAGCTTTATGACAGTTTGTTTGCTGTTCTTGGTGCTTCTTTCATGAAAATGTACAAACTTAGGTATCATGGCCCTAATCCTGCATCTCCAAATCCCAGCATGCAAGCTCAAATTTACCCTGCCCAGCCCAATGACCTCTCCTGGCCTTTCCATCCAAGTAACGCTGCCTTTTACAAAAGGAACATTCAAATTTTGCTTTGAACCTGTGCCCCCATATGAACTCATGGTTACCAGGTTCTAGGGGGTCCTGGATCTGTATTTCCCTGCTCCTTTGGGTTCCACTCTCCCATTATATGGGGTTCACTGGAGTCAAGACAGAGCTGGATCATTTCCAGGGGGAGGGGCTGAGACAGGACCAGGCAGGCAGGGTCTGCTAGGCCTGACCTCTCTCCCTGAACTGCCTCCTGCCCCTGTGTCCACAGGACAATACTTCTGGCTGGAGCCAAAGAATGCATTTGAGAATTTCCAAGAACCTGACATCGGCCTCATTGCACTGGCTTTCCTTCAGGGCTCCTTTGCCTATGGAGGCTGGAACTTTCTTAATTATGTGACTGAGGAACTTGTTGATCCCTACAAGTGAGTTAAAATACCCCAGCTCTTCCCCTCTCCCTTGAAAGGTCCTGGCACCTGCTATTGGAATGAGGGAACCAGGTGTCCACTGCCCACTTTTCCCCTAATTCCTGTTCTGACCTTGACCTGTTCTATCCTGAAGAAATAGTTCACTTGCCAGGAACTTACACCATTTGTTATCCACTCTGCCCTGAGCAGAAAAATGATCCAAGGACTATCCCAGAGCAGGTTAAAAGCTGAGCAGTGGTGAGGTGGCACCATTGCCTTAGAGAATAAAACATGTGAGGTTCCCAGGAGACTTACCCACCTGCTGGGGACACACAGGGCTTGTATCTTGGGGAGGGAGGGAAGCAGTGCATTGTGAATGAGATTCTAGTCAAAAAGAGATGAATAGGTGTGAGCATATTTCCAGCTGAGGCTGTTTCATTTCCTTTAAATTGGGACAAAATCCACCTCCCAGGGAGAGAGAATATCACAGAAGCCTACAAGGTCTGTTTAGTGCAAAAAAAAAAGAGTGCAAAAAAAGAGAGATACTTTTGGAACCCATGACCAGGCAGGTTTCCCAGGTGCCAGACCTTCCCCCTCTCACCCCCTCTCCTCTGCAGGAATCTTCCCAGAGCCATCTTCATCTCCATCCCACTGGTCACATTTGTGTATGTCTTTGCCAATGTCGCTTATGTCACTGCAATGTCCCCCCAGGAGCTGCTGGCATCAAACGCAGTCGCTGTGGTAAGAGATCAAACTCCTAGCCCTCCAACGAGGAATGTTAACTTAGACTTGCCCCTTAGCCTCACTCACTTTTCCCTGGTCCCTTGAAGTCATCCCAAGTCCATGGGGGCAGAAACCACCTCTTCCTGTGCCCGGGGGCAAAGTGCTGACCCGGTTCTACCTAGAACAGCTACAGCAGTTGGAGCTGAGCGCTTACCACAGAGTCGCATGACCAAAAAGCCAACAATATTTACTATCTGGGAAAACTGAACCAACTGCTGATCTAGGGAACTTTAAATGTGAGTATAAAGGACACAGGCTCCCCCTTGAAAAGTCTTTCATGAGATATACCATCTCTCTTTGCCTTCATTTCCTCCCCTAGCATTGGTGTGGTGATTCCACCCATCAGGAAGAAGTGTGTGACAGTAAATAGAAAGTAGAAGTGGTTTATACTCTGGGGGGAAAGATAGTATAGGTCCAAGGCATTGGGGTCCTTGATGTCCAAGAAAGATCTAGAACCAGAACCATGCTCCCTCCACCTCAGTGCCCCACCTTGGCCTCACCTGGGTCACAACTTCACCTGCCAAATAGCATCATAACGTGTCTTATGTCTGAAAACTGTAAAAAAAAAAAAAGAGAGAGAGAGAGAAAGAGAGGCCCCCAGAGGCCTGTCACCTTGGCCTTCCCCAGTAGGACGGCTGTTCTAAACAAACCCCCCACCGTGTGCCCGAAACCCAGCCTGTCCTTGGCTCAGAGACTATCGAAAAGGTTGGTGCCCAACATTTTCTATTCCTTTGATACATGAAGAGGAGTCTAACTTCACCTCCTTTTCTTTCTCAGCCTAATTGTGGCTTCTTATCATTTTTCCCCATGGCATATATTTTTGTGAATTTAGGAGTTTTCATCCTATGGATTGGATTCATCTCTATTTTACAAATGGGAACACTGAGGCTCAAAAATTAAGAAGCTTGCTTCAGCTCTCGTATCTCCTAAATGGAGGGCTGAATTCCAACTTGCCTGACTCACTAGCCTGTGTCCCTCACCATGTGAGGAAAGCATATAATGTAGGGAGGCCCCAACTCACACCTGGTTTGCTATCCTGGCCCTCTACTTCCTGGGCCTGTGATCTTAGGCAAGCTACTGAATTGCTTCATGCCTCAGTTTCCTCATCTGTAAAACAGGGATAGCAAATATTCGTCAATGATGATTATGGTGATGATGATGATTGCTGCTGCTGCTGCTGCTGCTGCTGCTGCTGCTGCTGCTGTTACCACACTGACTTAGCTAACTAGTCCAAAACACTTAATGAATTTGGCTGTGTAGTCATCACAGTGGGAAGTGGTGGTGCAGCAGGAAAGGGGCACAAAGACCATCCCTTCCCTCAAGGACCTTAGACAGAGAGACTCAGCCAGGGTGGGCTTGGGAGGGAGCATTCCAAGCAGTGATGTGCAGGTAAGGGGTTTCTGCTCATCCTTTGTTTTCTCTCCCAGACTTTTGGAGAGAAGCTCCTAGGTGTCATGGCCTGGATCATGCCCATTTCTGTGGCCCTGTCTACATTTGGAGGAGTCAATGGTTCTCTTTTCACCTCCTCCCGGTGAGTGCTGTCTGGGCTCTTCCTGGACCAGGGGCCACTCTGCGGTGCATTGCTCTGTGTATACTGTATGTTGGGGGAGGGCTCTTGTCTCTGTCCGCTGGGGTCTGTGTGGCCACCTGGGCAGTGACATTGAAAGGGTGATTGCTTACGTGAGTACGTGCGTGTGTCACTGTGGACTCAGAGGGGCGTGTCCTGCTCTCGTGGCTACCTAGGATGTGTATGGCTTCATATGTGATGGTGAGATGCCTCATCCCACCTCCTTTCAACAGGAGCAGAGGCAGAGGCTGAGGAGCCCCCAGGCTACCTGGTGCAACTCCAGGTCAGGGGGCTGTGGTTGGCAGCGGCACAGGGTCTCAGCTGCAGTACCCAAGCCCCTTTTCTTCTAGCCTGGAAATAGGTTGTGCCAGTTCAAAAGAAACTCCCTGTGAAAAGAACTAGGGGGACCCATGCTGGGGCCTCTGAACTGGTCCCTCATGAAAGTTTTGGGACCTGGCTGCAGGTACGATGGGACCATCTCTGAGCCCCCTCAGGGTGTAGCTTCTCCCTGATCAAAAAACAGGTGGCTCTGGGAGGCTGTCACAGGGCCTCCTGGGAGACTCAGTATAGGATGTGAAGTAAAAGGGGTGGGGAAGAGCAGAAGGAAAGCATTAGGGGAATTTTAGGAAAGCCAGAAGTGTGAATGGGCCCAGGAGTCTCCAGCTCCTGGTTCCACACATTCAGGAATCTGGCCTTTTCTTGAAATCCCTTGCTGTGAGGCCAGCAGATGCTGGATGATTTCCATGGATGTGGTTTAACAGGTCCCTCCAGGGTTCTTGGAAAGCCCCCTGCCCCCAGGGCACAGTCCTACAAGAAAAGATACAGCAAAAGCAGTGAGCCCCTCTCTGCAGCTGTTTTCAGTGTCATCCATCACATCTGGGAGGAGTGTCCATGACATGACAAAGGAGTAGCAAATTTTGAGGACCCAGGGCAGAAAAGAGGAAGTGTGGGTGTCCCCTGTACCCGAGACCCCTATGATGCTCACCCACAGCAACGTCGTGTGCATGTTACACAGGAGCAGTGGCCCCATGGAGGCCCCAGACGAGGGCGAGCGGTGGAAGAGCAGTGACCCATGAGGCTCTCTGGGATCTATTGGAGGAGAGTGACTGGCTACAGTCGCTTTAGAGTGGGGTTTGTCCCTCGGGCAGGCCAAGCAGCGGTCTGCGTGCATGTGGTCTAGCCGTGTGTGCATGCAGGAGACGCGGCAGGGCGCGCTCGCCTCTTGTTCAGAGGTGCCGCTCACCCACCAGGCCTCCTCAGCTCATCTTCCAGTTCTTTCCTTCCTGCCTTCCCCTTCCCTCCTTCTCGCTCTCATTCTTTTGTGTTTTGGAATATGAAGAGGATGATCTTCCCGAGGAGTAGGAGTGTGTGTGGGTGTGTGTCATGCTTAATGTCGTAGTCTCCTCTGTTGTTGGCTAGCCGGGCAAGGGTGGTCTCTTGTGAACTTGACACTACCTGGACAATTGCACTTGGTCCTGGCTGCATGTGGGGAGGATTGAATGGGAGGCCCTGGCTATGTGCATGACGAGGCCCACAGCACACCTGGGACTCACTTGAGGGCATGAGACTGCACTGAGGGGGACAATGTCATGTGGCTGCATGAAACCAATGACACTGGCCTAGGTAGCTGATGATGGCAACTGGTGGTGATGCATGTGGGTGCTGGGGACCACTATCCACACACACTCTGTGGAGAGAGCTGCTACTCCTAGACCCACTTTCCCCATGCACACATTACAAAGTCAGGGACACTTCTCTTCCAAACACCCAGAAAAGTGCGCTGATGCTGTGCTTTTCTGCCCCCACTGCAACAGCATCCTTTTCCTCCCATCCCTTTCCCTACAGAGGTGTCCCTTTCCCTACAAAGTCCTAGAAAAAAAGAAAAAGTCCAGTAATTCACATTAATATGTACATGACTCCTAATGCTTCTACTATTCACTTTTTTTCTCACAAGAGGGAAGGAGGAAAGGGCTGCTTATTCTGTTGAAATTTCTCTTTCTAAAAATAACTTTTAAACATTAATGTCCTGACCATGATTTCACATTGTTACCAGTGGGAGAATTAGGTAAAGGATACATAGGAGCTCTTTGTGTTGTTTTTTACTTTTTTTTCTTCTCTCTATTTTGTGTTATTTTCTCACTTTTTTGTTTTTTGTTTTTCTTTTTGTTTTTCATGTTTTTTTTCTTTTTTTTTAAAAGATTTGTTTATTTATACAAGAACCGGGGTACAGGCCTGATTTGCGGGAGGGTAAGATTCACCAGAGACAGAGTGGGGAACAAGACAGACAGACTGATGAAATACACTAATGAGGGGAGCAGCAGGCGAGACAGGAGAGGTCTGCTGCACCATGCTGGGACCTTCGCCAGCTGGTCGGGATCTAACTGGCGCTGCAGAGGCTGCTGACAGCTTCACAGAGCTGCGTTCAACCGCCTGCGCCACCAGGGGAGGCCCTCTTTTTATATTTTTTATTCTCTTATTTATGTACTGTTTCTTACAGGTGAATATGAACCAACAATCATCTCAAAGTTTAAAGTTTAATTTTGTATAGTAAAAAAATAATTTTTATTTTGATTATAAATGCCCTGGTGTTTTGGAATTTTATATTTTTTCCTATAAAGTTTAAGGAAGAAAATTAAAGTTACTCATAATCCTAGTACCCAGAATTAATCAGTATTTTAATAGCTGCTTTTACATGCACATAAAGTTTTTTAAATTAATTAGATCATATTCTATGGCATCATACAATTTTCAGTTTTCTTTTTTTCATTCATTTATTTATTTATTTATTTAAAAGATTTATTTATTTATGCATACAAGAGCTGGTGTACAGGCCAGAGATGCAGGGGGGGTGAGAGGATTCAACAGAGACAGAGTGGGGAACAGAACAGGCAGACTGACCGAAGTACACTGCTGAAGGGAGCAGCGGGAGAGTCAGGAGAGGTCTGCTGTACCATGTGGGTTGCTCCCTGGCTGGCCGGGGTTTGAAATCGTGCTGCAGAGGCTGTGGACAGCTCCACAGATTGTGTCTTACTTAACCCCTTGCGCCACCAGGGAGGCCCTAACTCTCCATTTCTTTCTTTCTTTTTTTTTAAGATTTATTTATTTATTTATACAAGAACCAGGGTACAGGCCAGATATGCAGGAGGGTGAGAGGATTCACCAGAGACAGAGTGGGGAACAGAACAGGCAGACTGACAAAATACACTGCTGAAGGGAGCAGCAGGTGAGACAGGAGAGGTCTGCCGCGTCATGTGGGACGCCAGTCCGAGGCCAGCCGGGATCGAACCAGCGCTGCAGAGGCTGCAGACAGCTTCACAGCACTGCGCTCAACCACCTGTGCCACCAGGGGAGGCCCTAACTCCATTTCTTTAGGATAGCTTTTTGGAAATAGAATAAGTAATTTAAGGATATATATTTTTAGGTATAATTTATATACCAAAAAATTGTAAATGTTCAGGTTGTTTTAACAACAGCCCATTGCAGACAGCCCATGTAACCATCCTCAGAACAGGAGAGAGAACATTTCCACAAATCCCCAGGTTCCCATGTGTCCCTTCCTGGCCCACCACCCATTCTCCACTTTCCTGGCTAGGAAAAGCTTTCCACACACAGGCCAGTCCCTATGTATCAGAAACTAAGGTGGAAGGGAGGCAGATTTTCACAGGGATTAAAGCCTCAGACATTGTCAGGAACCACAGAGTGACAATCACCAGTCACCCAGGGTCCCCAGACCACACCCAGGTCTCCACACACCCAAGATCCATCCATTTATCCACTGGTTGCCTCTGACTTGCCTGCACCTGCATTTGTGAACGTGGGTCCTGTGATTAGTGGGCTGGAAGGTGTGCATGAGAAGGTGGGTACCTGGTTGGAAGGGGGATGCTCCCAGGTGGGTAGAAGGTGGTATGGATGAGGGAGCCTAGTTGGAGAGGGGGCTTCTTTGGATACTTCATGAGCAAGCCAAGCTGACCTGCTTTTCTCTCTGCCAGGCTGTTCTTTGCTGGAGCCAGGGAGGGCCACCTTCCCAGCGTGTTGGCCATGATCCACGTGAAGCGTTGCACCCCAATCCCAGCCTTGCTCTTCACAGTAAGGGCCCCTCCTGTCAGCCCCAGACACATACTCCTTGTTTGTGCTTGCTCAGAGCTGAGAGTTCACACTCCCACACACACCCCTGTCATCCTTCAAGTCTGCTCCTAGGTTTCCTGGGTCTTAGATAATCTGGCATCCACAGGCGTTATTAATATTGAGAAAGACAGCAAGGAAAGACCCTGCACCCAAAAACCTAAAGGTTCCCAGGCTGGCCCCTTTCCATTTTCCTATGTTTTTGGATCAGAATGAAGTGACTCCCTCAAGATCTCACAATTCACAAAGAAACCTCTTTTCCTGGTCCTCTCCCGCACCTGTTACCCAGAGACAGGCTGCAGCTTTGGGCCTGTGCTCTGGTCGGTCACAACACATTCACCCTCCCCATCGCTCTTCTTGCCCCAGGAGATTTGCCAGTCTCTTGGGAAACATCACTGAAACAAATTCAGTGTTAAGTATATGTTAAAAAAGAAGAATCACAAGGGAAGGAAGACTGATAGAGAAAAGGAAACTTGGGGTGGGAGTAAAATAACCATGAAGAATCAAAGAGAACACACAGAGATATTTCCCCCATTGAGTCTTTTGAGTTATTTTTTTCCCATCTGGATCCTGAATAAAATTTTGAAAATGACTTGGTCCACTGGAGAAGCAGTTAGGCCAGGAGGAGTCAAGGGCATTCACTGCACAGCACTAGGAGCAATGTCAGAATGTTCAGACACAAGAAGAAGGTCATCTTGATCAGTTAGTTGTGAAAGGAAACTGGAGAAGCCCCTATGTTCCCACTGGGCCAAAGGCTTTTTTCAGTCCGAGGCCATAGTGCAGTGCTGTGACCCCAGGCAAGTACAGCTAGAATCTGGCTTATTCATCCCCTAAACGATCCTCCATTACCTTCATCAGACCTCACAGGACAGCCTGTGTTAAGCCTTCTGTTCATTTTAACAATTCAGCAGAGGAAAGAACATGGTTCTGAGAGAGCCACTGAGAAGAGTAAATAAGTTAATATTTGTAGAATGCTAAGAACAAGCCATGGCATCTGGTAAGTGCTATATCGCTTTATGATATTTAAAAAAAGAAAGGAAGGAAAAAAAATAAATTAGATGACTAAGCCAGGAGAAGAGGATGAGGTCACGAAAAAAGCCTTAATCTGCAGTTAACAGTCTTCCCTAAGAGATTAAAAAAAATGAAATTAGCTTGAGTAATAACCAAGGGAGAAATATAAATGAAAACAGGGCAGATAGGGAGCCAGGGGCACTGCTGTGCCAGTCTGGTTGTTTATGGCCAGTATGTTCTGATTGGATAGTGCCCTTGCCATACCAGTGGTTAAATATTTTGATTATCACCCCTGCAATAAAAAGAATTCCTGGCAGTGCAGGCATTAGCAATGGCCTGAATTAGTATCGGAGTGTGAAAATCTTCATTGTGAGACTCCCTGATGAACTGGCATCACCTGCCTCAGGCAGAGGAGCAGTCCCCTGACCTTTAATCAACACCCAAGTTTCCAAATACCTTTCTGATCACTGATGAGCTTTTCACATTCCTCCCAGTGCCTCTCGACCCTGCTGATGCTGGTCACCAGTGACATGTATACTCTCATCAACTATGTGGGCTTCATCAACTACCTCTTTTATGGGGTCACAGTTGCTGGACAGATAGTTCTTCGCTGGAAGAAACCGGACATCCCCCGCCCCATCAAGGTGCGAGACCTCCTTCTAGGGTCCCCTCCCTGTCTTCTACTGGTTCTGACTGCTGCTGAAATTTTTTTTTTTTTTTATTGAAGTAACATTGGTTTAGAACATTATGTAGGTTTCAAGTGTCCAGCATTTTAAGTTGACATCTATACATTATGTGCAATGGCCCCCAAAAGTCTAGTTCCCATCCACCATGGAACCAATGCCCTTTACCCAATTTACCCATCCCTTCTACTTTTTGTACTGTAATCTAAGGGTTTGTTTTTGTTTTGTTCTGTTTATTCATTTGCTTATTTATCTTTCTCCTTCTGTCTTACTTCACTTCACTTAATGCCTTCTTGGTCCATCTATGTTGTCAAATGTCAAATGGTGACATTTCATCTTCTTTATATATGACTAGTGTTCCATTGTGTATATATACCATATCTTTATCCTCTCCTTTACCCAGGGATATATCTTGGCTCTTGTGAGTAATGCTGCAGTGAACATTGGGGAGTGGGCGTGGGCGCTTATATCTCTTCACCTTAGTGTTTTATTTTTTTGGACAGATCCCCAGAAGTGGAATAGCTGGATCACAGGGTGTTTCTATTCTTAATTTTTTGAGGAATTTCCATATTGTTTTCCATAATGCAGCTTAGATTTTTAAATCACCATGTTCTCAGTGCTGAGCACAGGTCACCATCTCTATGATGGTAGCAAACCTTAAGCCACAAGGGTTGTATGTGAATGGGGCAGCCATTTCCATTCTCCACCGGGGTCAGGGCCAGAGCAAGCTGCATCAAAGAATAAGTTAGAGTCAGTGGTGTTTTTGTCACATCCTTCTTTTGTTCCCTACAACTCTAGGTCTTAAATGCCAGCTGATCTTTCATAATTCCCTTCTCTCCCTAACATTGTCCTGGGCCCTCTAGTCTGGGCAGTCTCCTCGCTCTCCCTCCCAGGGGCTGGGTTTCCTTCTGCTGTGTCTCCATCCATGCAATGAGTTTCCAGAATGAGTTTCCTCCTCCCAGCTGCCTATCTAAAGTCCTTTTTTTTTTTTTTTTTTTAATGCTACCAAAGGCCTTTATTAGTGGCAATGGGAAGGTGGGTGGGGAGGGAAATATGACAGCTCTGGCTCTGGAGAAGTTCCAAAGGCCTGAAATTGAAGGAGATGCCTTAACATCCAGGGAGAAGCATGCCTTAACATCCAGGGAGAAGCATGCCGACCTCAGTTGTGCTCGGATTCCTCCTTGGAGTACCCTGTCTTTGCACTTGAGGATAGACTCAGTAGCTGGGCACCAAAGACATGTGGCAGAGGGGGCAGGAGCCCTTCCCTCTGCCTCCGTACATTAGGGGGACCAGGATGACACACCAATACCAGCCAAAATACGGGCCTCAAGCACTTCTTCTTCCTTGAAGCATCCCAGTTCACTTCGGCATTCCACAACCCTCCTTTTTTAAACTATTGTGGCCTGACACATAGTAGGGTGTCTGTTGAGCCTATTGATTGCTACAAGAAATGACTTTGTGATAGCAATAGATGAACTGCTTAGGACAAAATATGCTTGCTAGAACTCTCTGGGTTCTCCTGTAAATCAGGAGAATCGAGCACAGCCTTAAACTATTGAGTTGTCGGAAAAGTCATGATGTACTTTTGCTTGAAAGGCAAAAAAAATATGCCATGACTTTTCTGACCACCTAATTTTTGAACAATTCTGATTCTGGAAACAAAAAAACTAGAAGATTCTTCCAGCTGAGAAATCCAGGGCTCTCCAAATCTGTTTTCCACTGCCACTGCTCTACCACTCTTAGAAAGACTGCTGGAGGGAAAAGGAGATGGAATCGCCCTGTCTCCCCAGCACAAGCAAGCTCCCTGGGAGGAGCGGACAGGAGCAGAAGGGAGGCTGAATCCGGAGACTTGGAAAGCTCTGCTGGGACTCCCACCAGTGTCGACAGAAGGGATGAAGCCCAGAGAGTGAAGCTGCTGCCTGAAGTAGCCAGGGCCCCAGGCTGCTACAAGCTAGGTCTCCTGACTCCTCAGGTCTTGGCAGGTTTATCTCCTCAAATTGCTAAAAGCAAATTGGGGCTGACCAGGGTGAGAGGGAGGGGCACTCACCACACTGCGCCCCGATGAGGCTCGCCTAAAAGTAGGCAAGGTGGGGAGCCCGCTGACTCAAGGTGGGGAGCCCTCCTTCTTCCTCACTCATTTCTCTGCTTCTCCTTCACCACAAGACCTCAGCAAGTGCACCCATATGCCAGCAGGCTCACCTACCCTGAGGGATTGGGGGAGTCTCCTGCTGTCTCCAGCACTGGACAAGGAGGAGACCTTGTTTGATCCTGCTCAGGGGAGGGGCCTGGGGACGAGGTAGACAAGGGGGACTGAGCCCTCCCTCCTCTTCCTGACCAAGTTCACCAATACTTGTTGAAGCAGCAGTTGCCCGGTCAGGACTCCTGGTGGAGAAGCCACAAGGCTGAGGGAAGTCCAGCCTTTGCCTGCAAAGTTGCTTGCCTGTGGGTGAAGAGGGAGGATGCTCTGACCCTGTGGGCCGTGGGGCTCTCACAGATAATGGTGACTCTGTTCCACAGATCAACCTCCTGTTCCCCATCATCTACTTATTGTTCTGGGCCTTCCTGCTGGTCTTCAGCCTCTGGTCGGAGCCCGTGGTGTGCGGCATCGGCCTGGCCATCATGCTGACAGGAGTGCCCGTCTACTTCCTGGGTGTTTACTGGCAACACAAACCACAGTGTTTCCATAACTTCATTGGTGAGTCGTTGCAGGCTCTGGGTGGCTACAGGGCCTCCTGGTCTGGTGTAAAGTGGCCGGTGGCCTGGCAGGGAATACCTAGGCTGATGCACAGAGCTCTGGAAAAGGAGTGTGGGGGTGGGGGACCGGGTGGCAGGAGAGGTGCAGCACACAGGAAAGGGAGACACCTTTCCAGAGGCCTCTGAGAATAGAATAGCTGGTGTTTGCACGTCGACCTTAGACCTGCAAGAGAAGGCAAGGTGATAGCTATCCTGCCAGAGCTGTCTAGGGCCAGGTAGAGACCCCAGGTGGTCAGTGGGTGTGGGGAAGCTGGCGGACTAGGGTCTTTATGAGAAGGGGTAGCTGCGGGAAGCAGATGAGGTGGCCAGTCCCCTGGAAAATAGTCTCATAGGTGCTGGTGGCTCTGCTGAGGCAAAACCTGAGGTGGAGAGCCAGGAAGGTGGAACGCTTATCATTGATTGTGACCTCTTCCCTCAGAGTGGATGACCCTGGTGAGCCAGAAGATGTGTGTTGTTGTGTACCCTGCGATGGATGGGGGCTCGGGGACAGAGGAGATAAACAAGGACATGGAGGAGCAGCAACAGCCCATCTACCAACCCACTGACTCCAAGGACAAGACTTCAGAGGAGCAGCCCTAATCTTGAGGAACCCCATCCCTCTCAGCAGGCTCCTCCCTCCCTCAACACCCTTTCTGCCTTCCCTGCCCAGGTCCCCCCAACATACACACACACACTCCTCTGTCAAGCAGGGGCAGGACCTGGGTATGGACGGTGAGACACTAAACCAAGACTGACACTATACCCAAAGAACCAGCCTCTCACCCCCAGGACCTGTGTCCAAAGCCCCCCTCCAGGCCTGTCCACATTCTGTTAGAGGAGAGTGGAGCTACCAAGGGTGACTCCAGGATCTGCCCTCTGTCCTGGGCCCACACATTATATTTCCTCCTCTAGAACTTGAGTACCCTACTGCCTTCCCTCCCCACTCCTGAGCCCAGGGAGGCCTCAGCTCAGAGAGAGGTGGTAGCAACTGTAGTCAGTTAGGGAGGGACAGACTCAAGCAAATTTGTCACCATTGAAGGTCAGCTGGAGAGATTCAAATCTCCCTCCCTTCTTCCCTCCCTCCCTCCCTTCACTAGGGACCCAAGAAACCAGAGGGGATACTTCTCTCTGCCCTGTACTCCTCGGTACTTCCCCAGGCCTCCTGAGCTCCCTGGCCACAGTCAGGTTCCTGTCAGGACACCACCTCCCCACTGAGCTAAGGACCAATGAGCAGGAGAACTGCCCCCGCCCCCCAAGCAGAGCCAGGCCTGTGGAACAGTTGGGAAAGGCTCGGATTGCAGAACCCAGCCCTGCCCCTGCCCTTGCCCCTGCATCCTGCCCTCAACTCTGTGCCAAAGCTTCTTAATACCAGAAAGGCTTTTTATTTTCAGCATAGTAGTAGACAACGTCTCTCTCCTAATGACAAAGTCGTTCTGCTTCTCCTCCCTCTCTATGCCCAGGGGAAGACTCAGTCAGTCACCCAGTTACCCCTGCAGCTACACCCTGACACACCCCCAGCCACACCCCCAGTGAGCTATTCGGGCTGCCCCATCATGTCCTTTTCCTCCTCCAGAACCAGACTGGGTGTGAAGTCTCCCCGAGCCCATCAGGCCTGAAATCCAAGCCAAATCAGCCTTAAGTCACCTCCCATCCAAGAATCAGACCTAAAAATACTCTCTTATTTCTAAACCCAGGAACAGACCTGGTATGAAATGCACTCTGGGAGGAAGGGAGGGAGTTAAGGAGGGTGCTGTTCCACTTCCCTAGAGGTGCCCATCCCATAAACTTGGAGACTGTTCCGGAGAAGGTGTCTTCAGAAAAACAGTTCCAGCCCCCTCCCCAACTCAGATAACCCCCACTGACAGTCCCACCGCTGTCCTGTCTGGGCAGCCTCCAAGGCAGGATGAGAGGGCAGTGGCAGCCTGGCACCTCCTGGAAGGCCCTGGGAAAGGCAGGTCTCTGTGGCTTGCAGACTCCCAGCATCCTGCAGGCTGAGGCCACTTTGCCTGTGCTCCAAGGGAAGGCTTCCGCGCCACCCCTGCTGTGCTAAGGACTAGGATCCTTTTATCCTACAGCAAGATTCCCTGGGCACCCCCACTCTCCATCTTTTCTGCTTAATACTGGAATACCTGGGGAACCACTCCTGTCCCAGACAGACCTCCCAGCTTCCACCTGCCTGCCTGACCTCAACTTGCTGAGATGCCAGGACTGGTCAGGAGAACTAGGGCTGGCCCCTGGGGGGTCAGGGGACCATCCTCCTATACCCTCATCTCATTCCTCTACCCTCCTATTATTGTTTTTTGTAAAGTGGATGCCTTACTTTTTGGATAAATATTTTTGAAGCTGGCATTTCTATTTCTTTTGGATTTTGTAATGTAAGGTTGGTTGTTGTTATTTGGGGAGGGGGGGTGGGGGGGTTATTACACCAGAATAATACTCTTCTGTCTTTCAGTTAATTTAGGCTTTAGAAGGTTTTTTGTTTTGTGGAGGCTTTTTTTTCCTTTTGATGTAATAAAATTTTAAATGGAAATGAAGTCTGCGTTATTGATAATTAAATGACCATCTGAGACAGAGTATCCAGGCATTTCCTATCTTACTCGGGAGTATCTGCTTGCCAGGTCCCTTCCAAGATGCCATTCCCAAAGGCCTGCTCTCCACCACCTCGTTCAAATGCCACATTCAAGCAGCCACCATTCTAAACCAAAAACATTCTCATTTCTTCTGTGAAGTCATGAGTGTTACGTGCCTGCTCTGGGCACGAAGCTGAGAGCCTACAGACTAGCTGGGTGGAAGAAACAGCCCTGTCCAAGCAGGGAATGGGGGCGACAGGACCCAGCTGAGGGAGGGAAGCCAAGGCAGGGCGGTCCCTCAAAGCGCAGTCAGCAAAGTCCTCTCAAGCCTGGACAGCCGAAGAGGAAGGGGCAGCCTGAGCCTGTGGACAGAGGCAGAGGGGACTTAGGAGAGCAACCAGTGGTGTCCAAGGGTCCTGATGGGAGTGGGTGCAGGCAAGGTGGGTCCACTCAGCTGTCGAGAGCTTTCCAAGAGGAGGATTTCCCAGAGGAGGAAAGACTAGGATTGTTGGACTAAGACAAAGGAGGAAGCAGTTAAGATAGGGACAAATACCTCCTGGTGCTTTGCGTTAATTGCTGGAGGAAGTTGAGTGGATTAGACCAGACCTTGCTTGGAGCAACCTCCTCTCTGGGCAGCCCTCCCAGCTGCCTGTCCTGGGACGGCATCATTCTGGAGCCAGCACTGCTGACAGACATGGAGTGGGGGAGGAGAAGGGGTTAAGACATCACCCTTCACCATCTGGGACACTCTGAGGACACAGGCAGGCAAGATGCCTCCACTCGCAGTCTTGGCCTGGCCTCAGCACCCCCTGCTCAGTGGCTGGCATTCTAGCCCGAGACTGGAGACTCGCCTTTCACAGGGCACAGACACTAAACAGCAGTGTGTCCTTGGGCAAGTCACTTAACCTAGTAAGCATTTTCAGAGAAGGGGGGGAGAAAGGTTGAACCTAATCTCAAAGAGCTCTTCTATCTCCCAGCCCAAGGCTGTGAGGGCAAAACGGGCAGAGGCAGGTCTTATGCAAGAGGCCATTCTCCAAGCCTCATATCCACCCAGGGGGACCCCTATTTGCCCAGCACACATACTTTTCTTTCCCTGGGCTGCCTGGGGTCTCCACCTTGTTGCCTATTCTGGTACATGCAGCACTGACTCCCCAACACCTCTCCCTTCTTGGAGACACTAATCCTGGGGGGCACCCCTCTCGCTGGGTAAGGTGACACTTGCTGATCTTTTCACCCCGTCACATGTTCAAATGTGGGTCTCCTCCCGAGCCACATGCATTTATTTTTAACCTAGACCTTTACCTTGTTTTAACCCAGTCACTTTAATGCTAGGAATTTCAGATACTCAGACCTTAGGCAATTTGGGAACCTTTTGGAGATGACTGCTTAGGCACTTACGTATTAATATAGCCACATAGCAAACTGTTTCCTAACCACTGGGTCCAAGGATTTTGCTATACACTGTGGGAACAGCAAATTTATATTCCTGAATTCCAAGTCAGCACCTAGTGCAAATAACTTGTTTTGTCATCTCCATAAGAATATCCACATGTGTCAGTCCACCAGCACTGAATTTCAATTCAGGCAATTTGGTCACCATAGCTGAAGAGATGGAAAGGATGGCTCTCTCCCTACCTTCAAGGACCAGAGTCTGGGGGGGAGGAGGCACACAGCATACACGTGGGCCTGTCTCGGCATGGCTGACTGGGGGGCCTGGCAGGGGTCTCCATAGGCAGAGCCTGATCCCCCAGAGCATGTGTAGTGCCCAGTACCTCCATGCTCAAAAACGCTCCTCAAATGGAGGTGTCAGATGAGGCTGCAGATAGTGCGTCTGCTTACAGGACACCGATAAACCAGGATGACCAGTCAGGAACTGAGGAGGAGGTGACTATTTGCTGAGACCAGTATCTTGCCCTACATAATCTTATTCAAAGTTTGATTAAACAAGCCCACAGGGCAGGCATTACTATTCGTACTGACATTTTACTAGGAAGATTAAAGAACTTGCCCAAGGTCACCGAGCTAGTACGTGACAGAGACAGAATCTGAGCCCAGTTCCCTCTGACACAGCACCGCCATGCACCCTACTGGAAAGACGTGGTAAAGGAGGTAGTATCGGAACTGAGAGCTGTTACAGCGTCACTAAGGTGATGCACATACATTTGTCAAGAGGTGTGTGTATATCCAACAGGAAGATTGTGCAGCAGCTAGGAGAAAAAGAGCCTGCTGACCAAGGAAGGCTGCTTCTGCTCCTGAGCAAATCTAGGAACACAAGAACCAACGACCCCCTCCCCTATCCCTCAAAGGGCACTGCCCGCCCCCTGCTTCCTGTCAATCGCCCTCGCCTCCCATGCCCAGACAACAGCTCCTAAAAACCCCTTGGTTACTGGAAACACTGATGTCAGATCATGTGCCAGCAACGTCTGGGAGGTGAGGGGCCCGAGATCTCTTATCTCCACATGGGCAGAGCTGCGACTTTCTCATTTCCTGCCTGCTCTCCTCCTGCTTATTTGCACTCCTCCTGCTTCCTCCAGCACCCAGTTCAGCCAGGATACAGCTGACATAGTCCCTGTATCCCAAAGGGGCTGACCTTGAGCAAAGAAGGCTCTCTAAGTCATCAGCTTCCCCTTACCCTATCCTCTCAGGCCTGGGGTTTCAATAACAAGCTCACTGTCATTTCCCTCCAAGAGCAAGATAGCATCCTTGGATAACCTTGGGCAACTCAGCCTCTTAGCCATGTTTTCTTTGTTCAAAAGATTGGGACGAAAATGTTGTATGGGATTAGCTCAGGACATTATTTCCCCCTAACAAAAATACTGGGTTTCCTTGCTCACCTTCCTGGTTAGCTCACAGGGAAATGGATAGAATGGAAAAGTATAATTTTCAATAACTGAAAAAGCACACCAGAAAATGCAAGGCCTTAACCATTATTTCAAACTTAAGAGGGGATAGAGTTTTTTAATTATTATTGTTTTTATGAAGAAGAACTGGGGTGGGCGGGCCTCTCTGGTGGCACAGCGGTTAAAGTGTTGGTGTTATCAAGCTATCTGCAGCCACTGCAGCACAAGTTCCCTAGGCTAGGGAGCTAAGCCGCATGGCACAGCAGACCTCTCCTGACTCGCCCACTGCTCCCCTCAGCAGTGTATTTCAGTAGATCTGCCTGTTCTGCTCCCCACTCCATCTCTGGTGAATCCTCTCACCCCTCCCCCAACCTCTGGCCTATGCCCCAGCTCTTTTTTTTTTTTCATTTTTTAAAAATTATATTATATTTTATTTTTTAACATCATTGTTCATTTTTAAACAATAATTGCTTCCCCCAGCCCCTCAGGTGTAGTCCCCATAGAGTCTCCTTCCCCAAGGCACCCGTGCACCATCACCTCAGTCCCCTGTGCTCCTCCCTCCCTCCTTCTGATCCCTCTCCCTCCTCCTCCCCTGCAGTGTGTCTATGATTTATAATTGTCTTTTTTTTTTTTTTTTTTAAAGATTTATTTATTTATTTATACAAGCTCTGGGTACAGTCAGAAGCGCGGGAGGGCGAGAGAATTCACCAGAGTCAGAGCAGGGAGCAGAGCAGGCAGAAGGACCGAAGTACACTGCTGAGGGGAGCAGCGGGCGGCAGGAGAGGTCTGCGCGCCATGTGGGACCCTCCTGCGGTGGCCGGGGAGCAGCCGGGGATCGAACCGGCGCTGCAGAGGCTGCGGGCAGCTTCACAACCCAGCGCTCAACCGCTGCGCCACCAGGGAGGCCCTATAATTGTCTTTTTTAGCTTTGTTTACACCCCAGGTCTTGTATGCATAAATGGATTAAAAAAAAAAGAATTGGGGTGTAAGCCAGAGGTGGAGGGGGGCGGTGAGAGGATTCACCAGAGAGAGGTAGGAGCAGAACAGGCAGATCTACTGAAATACACTGCTGAGGGGAGCAGCGGGAGAGACAGGAGAGGTCTGCTGCACCATGTGGGTCAGCTCCCTGGCCAGGGATCTAACTCAGGTTTGTGATGATAGTGTTGAGACAACCCCTAGGGTACCAGGAAAGCCCCATGGGATAGAATTATTCCCCATTGAGATAGGCCCTGGCAGCTGATTCTCGTCTACCCACTCTCCCTGACAACTCCCAGATTGGTGGTTGAAACTGTACTGCAAGCCCCATTCCCACCATGTGTCCTCTTCCACCTTCTGGAAGTCCAGCAGCAAGTTGCCTGGTGCCAGGGCCCTAGAAAGCTGCCCTCTGCTGTCCACCATCTTCCTCACCACTACCCTCATTCAAAATCAGCGTTTGAAGCAATATTGCCACCTGGTGGTTGACAAGACAGTGCCATAAAACTAAAGCAGTTCAGCTTGCTTTGGTACTTGTTTGCCACAGTGTCCTTTAAAATGGTGAGCAAAGGGCCTCCTTGGTGGCGCAAGGGGTTAAGCACAGCACTGCGAAGCTGGCCACAGCCCCTGCAGCATGAGTTCTATCCCCGGTCAGGTAGATACCCACATGGTGCAGCAGACCTCTCCTGACTCCCCGCTGCTCCCCTCAGCAGTGTATTTCAGTCTATCTGCCTGTTCTGCTTCCCTCTCTGTCTCTGGTGAATCCTCTCACCCCCCCTACACACACCTCTGGCCTGTACCCCAGTTCTTGTATGCATGAATAAATCTTAAAAAATAAATAAAACAAAATGGTGAGCAAGCAGAAATCTCCCCACCTGGTGACTGAGATCTCTCTCTGGTGCACACATACAGGTCTCTGTATTCCAGGTCAGAATTTCAGAAAAAGTAGCTCAGATCATGCATAGAATGCTTTTGGGAGACTCTAAGAGGAGTAACTTGCCTGCCTATAGGCAGCCCTGTTTGTATTTGCATCTTTTATTTTAGTCTTTGATGCCACATATATCCCCTCTGTTTATGCCCCACTGTGGCCAGGCCTTGGTGTGCCTGACTTAAGATACCTGCCCCCACAGGGCCCAACAGCAGGAGCCAGTGTCCTCTCCTTTTCACTGAACCTCAAGTTGCTTTTGTAGATTAAATTTGACAAGTAAAAGCAAGGCCACAGCCTGGGCCTCTGCCAGAGGGGGGCAGGGAGTTCCCAAAGGAAAAAGGAAAGGGAAGGGAGGACTCCCCCCACCACACACACACACACACACACACACACACACACACCTGCTCACGAGAACAAAAAATGCAGAGATGAGCCCTGGGCTTCTCCTAGACACCCTGAAACAGAGCTCCAGGAAGAGATGATGACAAAAGAGAAGGGTTCTCAAGCCTCATAAGAGGAAGTGGACCCAAGAGACATGCATCGAGGTCAGAGAACGGCCATGTAGAAGGAAAGAGCAAAGCAAGCTGCAGCCAATGCCTAAGCCCTGTGCTGGGCACAGGAAATGTGGCAGAGCGCCAGACTGAGGCTCTGGCAGCACAGGGCCTGGAGGAGAGGCACTGAAGCCACCAGGGGAAGGCGGCTGTCAGCTCCTGGGCCAAACAGCCTGCCTGAGCCTGAGGCACAGGGCCCAAGTCCTGACCAGCCAAGCCAGGCAGTTGGGGACTGTGCCAGGTTGCTAAAGCTAGCCAGGGCTGGAAACACGTGAGGATTTGGGCCATGGCACAACCTCATGCAAAATCTTAGCAAATGAGCATGCTTTGGGCCACGACACAGGCCCCTATGTATGGCCTATTCCCAGAATCTATCACTGATTCCTAAACTACTCAACAACACCCCCTGACCTACACCCTGGAGAACGCCCTGGGAGGTGGGGCTACCCTTGGGGGTAGGTGGAGCTCAGCACTGTGGGGGACCCAGAGGGAGGTGTGTCAAGGGAGGAGCTCAGACAAGCCTGGGGGTCGGCCCTGGAAAAGGCTTTTCTCCCTTCATTCTGATTTGGCACTTCATTCTGCACAGAACGCTGGAAATTGGAGGGAGGAGACCTCTGGACACCCTGGACTCAGCAGGAGGGGCAGACATTCCCAGAAGCATCACCTCCTAGCACTTTGGAACCCTGGCTTGGACCATAACCCAAGCGCGCCCCCACCTGCTAACTAGGCTGGGAGCCCTATTTCTCTAGGCCTACATCCCTCCCTCGGGTTGCACCCTGCCCCTCCCTGAGTCACCCCAGGAGAGAGGGGAAAAAAGGGAAGAAAAAAGAGGCATTGACTACAGAGGAAGGAAAAGGAAACAGCAGAGGAGGGAGGAGAGCCACACGGGAGTGTGTGACAGAAGACAGCAGAGAGGGCAGATCTAGGGCAGATCTAGGGCTGGGGGAGATAGAAAGGGCAGGGGAGCATCCAGAAGGGTGCCCCAAGAGCAGGGTAGCGGGGGCGGGGAGCCGAGGGGGCGGGCCAGCCATGTCCCACGGGACCTACTATGAGTGTGAGCCCCGGGCTGGCCAGCCGCCTCTGGAGTTCTCAGGGGGCCGCTCGGGGCCTGGGGAGCTAGGGGACATGTGTGAGCATGAGGCTTCCATTGACCTCTCTGCCTATATCGAGTCTGGGGAGGAGCAGCTCCTCTCAGACCTCTTCGCAGTGAAGCCGGCATCTGAGACCCGAGGTCTCAAGGGCCCCGGAACGCCTGCCTTCCCCCACTACCTGCCACCTGACCCTCGGCCCTTTGCCTACCCCCCACATACCTTCGGCCCTGACAGGAAGACGCTGGGACCTGGCATCTACAGCAGCCCAGGGAGCTACGACCCCAGGGCCGTGGCTGTAAAGGAGGAGCCCCGAGGGCCAGAGGGCAGCCGGGGGGCCAGCCGTGGCACCTACAACCCTCTTCAGTACCAGGTGGCACACTGTGGGCAGACTGCCATGCACCTGCCCCCGGCCCTGGCGACATCCAACCAGCCCCTGCGCGTCCTCAAGGTAAGAGCAGATCCATTCTCCTCCCTGCCACCCAGGGCTGGAGAGACACCCATGTGGATGGGGGGACTGTGAGCTGCCCACTGACGCTATGGGGCTGTGTTTGGTTTTGCTTTGTGCGGCTGAGGCAGCCCTGAGCCCTCTGTGCTCACCACCCAACCGTGACCCCTTTGCTTCTTTGTGATTTTACTCCCAGCCTGAACCTCACCTTGTGGCTGGCACCCAACTTGTCCAGCAGCTCCTGTAGCCAACTGACGTGCCCTGACGGGCCTTCCACTAGCTTCTCTGCTGCCCACCAGCCCTTTACTCTTGTTTCTCTGCCACCTGCTTCTAAAAGAGGTAATCACCACTGATGTAGACCTAGAGATTCCAGCTTGTTAAGAGGAAAGCACCCATACAAGGTGAGGGAGCACCAAAGGAAGCTGGGTCAGTTAGACCTAGAGATTCCAGCTTGTTAGGAGGAAAGCACCCATACAAGGTGAGGGAGCACCAAAGGAAGCTGGGGTCAGAGCAGGAGACCCTGAACGCCTGGCACTGCAGTGGCTCTTCTGACCTGGGAGCCAGGAGCTGGCTCTGTATCTTTATCCCTCTGATGCCCAAGTATGGCCGCTGGATTCCCGTCTTGCCTCCACCCTACTTCAGCCTCACCCAGACCCTTGCCTTCCTTTCTAGGCCCCTCTGGCCTCCGCAGCAGCCCCCTGCAGCCCCCTTCTCAAGGCGCCCTCCCCAGCTGGCCCCTCACACAAGGGCAAGAAGGCGGTGAACAAAGACAGTCTGGAGTACCGGCTGCGGCGGGAGCGGAACAACATCGCGGTGCGCAAGAGCCGAGACAAGGCCAAAAGGCGCATTCTCGAGACGCAGCAGAAGGTGCTGGAGTACATGGCTGAGAACGAGCGCCTCCGCACACGCGTGGAGCAACTCACCCAGGAGCTGGACACCCTTCGCAACCTCTTCCGCCAGATTCCTGAGGCTGCCAACCTCATCAAGGGCGTGGGGGGCTGCAGCTGAGCCTGGCTGGTGGATTGTGCACTGGCTCCCTGTCTGGTCCAATCCTGAGGATCCCCTCCCTGTTGGGGCCCTAGGTCCCCTCACAGGCGGAGCCTGAGACATAGACCATGGACAAATGGCAACGGGTGGCAACAGTGGGGAGGGGGGGTGGGAGGGGGGCAGAACCTAGCATATTAATTCTGTGGCTGAATAAAATTGCACTATGACTTGGTGCTGGGGCTATACAGTGTATGTGTGGCTTGGGGGTACTCCAAGGGTAGGGAATGCATGTGGCTGGGTCAGCACACCTCTAGTTTCATGCCTTAATATTTGGAAATATTCTCAAGATACTCTGCTCACAGCCCTTCCCTAACACATCACTCAGGCACTGTGCTCTCCTCCCACCCCCACTCTGGGCCCACTCTGCCCTTCTAGACACTGAGGTCATCTCCCCTCTCTACCCCATTGAATTGGCTTCTGGATACCATCCTAACAGAGCTCTGTAGCTTGTGGGGAGACCCCACCCAGTCCAGCATGTCAGGCCTGTTGACCCTGCCCTGCTCTTTTACCTGGAGGTAAAGTTCTGGGAGCTCTGGCCCCAGGTGACCAAGAGAAAATTCCAGATGGCTTGACATATCTATGGCCCCTTAGCACTTGATCCAGCCTTGATGCCTTCTCTTCAGTTCCATTGCCTCAGCTATAAGATTGAACCCCTCCCCCCAGGTTTCCATCAACCTGCTCCCATCTTTAGCCCTTATTTCCTGGGCTCAGGTTCCCCAAAGCTTGAGAATCTGAGTGCTTAGGGAACAAATCACTTGCAAATGACCTCAAAACCAGTTTGTACCTGAAAAAACTGACCATGAGGTTGACAATTCACTGGTGCCAGCAAAGTCCCAGGTTGGAAGTGTTTTCCTTTTCTTAGAGGTCTAGTCCAAGAGCCTCCCTGGTGGTGCAGGGGTTAAAGACAGCACTATCAAGCTGTCCCCAGCCACTGCAGCATGAGTTCAATCCCCCGCAGGCTAGGGAGCTATCCACATGGTGCAGCATACCTCTCCTGTCTTGCCTGCTGCTCCCCTCAGCAGTGTATTTTAATAGATCTGCCTGTTCTGCTCCCCGCTCTCTCTGGTGAATCCTCTCACCCTCCATGCCTCTGGCTTACACCCCAGTTCTTGTATGCATAAATAAATGAATCTTTAAAAAAAAAAAAAAAAGAAGTCTAGCCCAAGAGCGTGACAGGACACTGCTAGAGAGCTGGAGTGGATCCTGTCTGCGGCTTACTAGCTGTGTGATCTTGAGCAAGATCTTACTTCTCTCCATGCATCAGTTTCCTCATCTGCAAAATGGGAGTCTGGTGGCCTCATAGTAGAGTTATGTTTACAGAAAACAGGACACGGTAAACAGGAATATGTGTGCTTATTCCCATTTTCTAGAACTGAAAGGACCTCAGAGATCTCCTCTGAACATCTCATTTTGCAGGCAAGGAAACTGAGGCTTCAGAGAGGGGCAGGGACTTACCTTGTTCTACCCTATTGGTTAGAGTAGAACCAAAATGAACACCGTAAAATCACAAATCTCAGGAGGTGCTGCAAGAGAACTCAAGAGATCATCTGGTGGACTTTGTTCTCAGACAGGCAAGATAGAGTGAGCCACATTTGATAAAGGGGCTGAGGGCCAGAGGGGACAAGAAACCTTCTGTCCCTTCCTCGGTCTCTCTACTCCTCTGTGTTTTGCACTAGGTTGACTGATAACCCCATACAATAAATAATCAGGCATTGCCTGAGTTCTGGGACTGAGACCCAGAACATAATAAGGGTTAGTCCCCTAGATGCTTCAGAGAAAGGCCGAGTTGGGGATACATTTCAGAGAGGGAGAGACCCAGAGTCAGGATCCTCCCAGCACACTCTTATTTGCTCTCTCTCTCTCTCTCTCCCCCCGCCTTTCTACACCCCCATCTCCCTCCCATGTCAGAGCTGTCCCCATCTGAACTCAGTCCCTCTCCTGCCTTTGCCTCTGAGTCTCTCAGTTATCATCTCCCCACTTCTGTGTCTTGGATCTCGCTGCCCCGGGTCTGGTGAATGTATAGATCCCAACCTGGATAGATGGTTTATTCCCCTGACCAGGCACCTGAGTCAGAGGGGGAGGTGCCCCCTCTGTGGAAACCTGGGAGAATCCTGAACCTTCCTTTTAGCCCAGGGGAATGGGTTGCATAAGGGAGGTTTGTACAGAACACGGTGAGTGACTCAACCCCCGGATTTCCTCCTCTCCACCGAAGACCACTGGCCCTTGACTTATTTTTTTTTAAAGATTTATTTATGCATACAAGAACTGGGGTGTAGGCCAGAGGCGTGGGGGTGAGAGGATTCACCAGAGAGAGAGTGGGAAGCAGAACTGGTGGATCCAATGAAATACACTGCTGAGGGGAGCAGCAGGTGAGTCAGGAGAGGTCTGCTGCGTGATGTGGGTCAGCTCCCTGGCTGGGGATCGAACTCATGCCACAGTAGCTGCCCACAGCTTCATAGTGCTGACTTTAACCCCTGTGCCAGCAGGGAGGCCCTGGCCTTTGACTTATTTTCAAGGTTCTGGGTGATGGGACCTAGGTTGCTTCAGCATCCACCCCTAACTACTTTCCCACAGCTCTGGACTGTATGATATCTCAGGCCCCTCCCTTCCCATGGGGGCCTGGTGAAGGCTGGCACTGAGGGTGCAGAAGCACCGCAGACCCGTGGTGAGAAGAGCGCCTCTACGGCAGATCATATCCCAGGGAGATGCCAGGCAGCCAAAAGTCACCCTTTATGAATGAGTCTTTTAACTTGACTTCAACTGGTTGGGCCAAAGCAATTTATTCAACAAGTATTTGTTTAACATCTTCTCCATGCCAGGCTCTTGCAAGGTGCTGAAGGGGTTAGGAAAAAAGGCCATGAACAAATGTGCTGAGGGTCTTCCCTGCCCCTCCACCCCACTAAGGTGACTTCCTGCCCAGTGGGTGTCTTGCTGTATTCCAGGCGAAGGGAGGGCAGCAGGAGACAAAGGTAGATATCTATCCCCCAATACCCCACCATACAAGTACTCCCCACAGCTCCCACCCATGGGACTCCTGCCTGCTTCACCACTGCTTGTTGCTTTTCCTTAATCCGGTTCGTTCACACCTCTAGAAAGCACCTCTATGTTAAATTCATTAATTACCCTGCTTGACTATGCCCACTAGGGAGTCTAAATAAACAAGGAGGTAGGGAGGCTATTTTAGCTGGGTAATCAAGGAAGGCCTTTCTGAGGAGGTGACATTTAAAAATGTTCAAGAAGAAGGCAGATGTGCCAAACTGGGGGGGAAGGGTGAGCACAGGCGAGAGCAAATGCAAAGGCCCTAAGTAGTCAGGCAGCTTGGGCTGCCAAGGTCAGCCCAGTCAGGCTAGCTGAGGAAGAGGAGAAGGGGGTGGCAAGAACACCTCCCTTCTTCCAGGCAGAGCTGCAAATGACTCTCTTCAGTCCCTCTGAGGAAAGGACTGTCCCCTGAGCAACTGGGGTGGGGTGGAGCGCAGGTGTCCCATATCCCAGATCATCCTCTCACTGCCACCAGGGAAAGAAGCAGCAGGAAAGTGTCCCCCGCTGCACCTCAAGGGCAGTTAGCCCCTCCTCTGCCAGGCCTGGGGAAAGGTGTTGGCCTGGAAAAACAGCAAACCAAGGCCCAAACAGCACACACAATGCATTCTTACTGCTTTAGAATTCACAGCTCTTAAGTAAAACTTATGAAGGGGTGAGGATGAGAGAGTCCTGAGCTGAGAGATGGAATCGTGGACCCCAGGAAAGCAGCTGGGGAGAAGGCAGGCTGTCTGGTCTTACCACGTAGAGGGAGGAAGCAGCCCAAGGTGAGGCTGCCAAGGTCAGCCCGGGGTGGCGGCTGCTTGTGAAAGCCGCTTCCCCACCTCGGTGCACACCTCCCACACCACCCCCACAGATTGCCACACGCCTGGGCCCCCAGGGCCCCCATCCCGGTGTTGCAAGATCCCGGTTGGGGTTGTGGAGGTGGAAAGGGGCCTCTTCACCTCCACCCCCCCACCCTGCCCCAGGCCAGTGAGGGGACTTGGATGGAGGGGGGTGTATCTGCTGGGCTGAGCGGCTGTGTGCCTCCTCTTCAACAGGCCAGTCACTTCCTGTCACCTCACTGGCGCCCAGACAGCAGACCTCTGTTCACAGAACTCAGCTTGGGCTGCTCTAAAGTGCCAATGGTCCAGCCTGGACAGAGCTCCTGGCTGTCCTCTGTCAGCTGCTTCCTGGTCTCAGAAAAACCTCCATGGTGCATAAGAAATTCCCCAAAAGCTACCCCACGGGAGAGATGGGGGTATTTTCAGAGGCAATTGGCTGCAACTAGCCATCAATTCTAGCTTCAGAGTACATAGGGAGATTTGAGGGAAAGGCTTCCTAACAGAGAGGGGTCCACCTACACAGCTATGGCCTCCCCTTCAGGAATCAAAGGTAGGTAGAGGTAAGCCCTACAGATTGGGTCCGTCTCCCATACTCCACAAACCAAGCTTCACCCTGAAGCCCCACACTGTCCAAACCTCTGTTGCCCCCACACCTAGTATTGTGGCCCTGGCTGGGCCATCCAGCCCTGCTGCAATCGGGACGGTTTGCAAAACGCCTGCTTGCTCCCGCTTTGTCACCATCTGAGGTTAGGACTGTACTAGGGAGATAAGCTTAGCACCACCCACCCGTCCCAAGTGAGACTGCTGGCCTGCTGCAATCGGGACGGTTTGCAAAACCCCTGCTGGCTCCTGCTCTGTCACCATCTGAGGTTAGGACTGTACCCCAAGATAAAGTCTAGCCCTGCCCACCAGTGTTGCCTTCAGACCTTACAAGTAATATGGCCAGCTGTCAGAGCTCCTTGGGAAGCCCAAGAAGGCCCAGCTCAAAGGCCCTGGTCTTGCCTCTCTAGCCCCTCCCCTATCCTCAGCCTTGCACATTGTCCTCTTGTCCATCCTTTCTCTCACTGCCATCTACGCCCCTTACCGTCCATCTTCCATCTTTACCCTCCCTCTTCCTTTACCACCCTCCTGCCTTCTCACCATACTCTTCATTCTCTTAATTGTTCCCCAAATACTTACTGAACACCAACCCAGGCCCTGCACTTTGCTTGTCAAAGGCGCTACAGGACAAACAGGAGGGACAGTCCCTGCCTTTGTGGGGTTTATGGGATTAATGAGGGTGACAGACAAACATAATACCACAAGTAAACATATCATTCTAAATTCTGGGCAGTGCTACGTGGCCAAAGTAAAGGAGTGACTGGTGGTAGAGAGTAACGAGTCTGCCTGATTCAAATGTGAGGGTCAGAAAGGTCTTCTTGGGAAAATAACAGATGAGCAGTTGTGTAAAAGGTGAGGAGGAGTCAGTATGGCAAAGGGAGGTTCCCAGCAGAGAGAACTGTACGCAGGCAGGGGACTTACTAGACTGAGGTAAGTGGTGAGGTCAGAGAGGACCTGAAGCCAGATCTCTCCTGTGGGATTCAGAGGCTCTAACAAGGGAGGAACCTTCCAAAGAAAGTGAACATTTCCTCTCAGAACAAGAGAGAAGGAGGGCAGCAGATACGGATCCAAACACAACTGGGTGTATGGCGTGCGGAGGCCGTTTTCACAGTGAGAGAAGATGAGACAGCGGTGACCGACTGCTTAGCTGAGCCTGTCAAGGGAACTGAGATTTCTGACTTGGGAACACGAAACTGAAGTGACCATGACAATTTTAGAGTGGCCACAGTCTGTCCTCTGGGTGATTTCCTTCAGTGCTCCGGTGTTCCTGAGCTGCTCCAGAGAGCAAACAAACACAGCGCTCACCTGCGCTTGGGACTGAACCAGGTCTGTGGAGGAAAAGGACAGACAGGAAAGGGGAACAGAAGTTCCTTACAAAAGAGGGGTTGGAGAGGTGAGCCTGGCGCCCTGGGCAGAGGAGGGGCAGGAAGGCCTGAGGGTCTTCAGTGACTTGGTGGACCAGCTGCTGGGAGCTGAACACAGGAACCTCAGGAAAGGAGGGTGTATCAGAGAGAGGGATGGTTGGTGCAGTTATTTCACAGTTGCTGCAGGGTGGGGTAGTAAGGCTCCTTCAGAGTCTGACCTTGGAGTGGGATGGTGGGTACTAGTGGTGACAGAGCAGAAGTTGGTATGCCAATGAGGGGGACACCCCCTAGAGCACTGCCAGCCTCGTCCCCATCCTCTCTCCACACCCCACATGCTACACCCTAGCCCCTCCCTTTCATCTCTCTTCCTCATCAGCATCTTCTCTCCACATCCCATCTCCTTTCCCGCTCCACTCCCTCTTTCTCTTTTCCATCCTCACCCTAACTTCTATTCTCTTGCAACTCCACCACTCTCACCGCCTGCATCCTCTCCTCACCCCACTCTCTCTTCAGTCTCTACTTTTCCTCCTCATCCTCATCTTTCCCAGTACAAGCATCTTTCATCCTAAGTTTCTTTGTCCTGCATACTGTGCACTAAAAAAGCAGTGTGGCGAGGTGGATTTAAAGCCTCTGGCCAGAAACCTAACTGCGTGGGTTCAAATTCCATCTTTACCACCTAACCACCTTGCTGAGAGGATTGCGTGAGTATAAAGTGCATGGAGTAGGGCCTCCCCGGCGGCGCAGCGGGTTGAGTACAGCACTGTGACGCTGTTCGCAGCCTCTGCAACGCCGGTTCGATTCCCGGCTGGCCAGGGAGATTCCCATATGGCGCAGCAGACCTCTTCTGTACAGCACACTGCTCCCCTCAGCAGTGTACTTCGGTCAATTTGCCTGTTCTGTTCCCCACTCTGTCTCTGGTGAATCCTCTCACTCCCCACATCTCTGGCCTATACCCCAGCTCTTGTATGCATAAATGAATAAATCTTAAAAAAATTAACTCTCATGAAAAAAATATTAATAATAAAAAATAAAGTGCACAAAGGCAGTGCTCGATATGATGGTTCTTATTTTCACCCTCTCTCCTTACTTCCTGACCCTTTCCTCACTTTCATCTCCCGGCCTCCATTATCCCTCTGTCCCGACTTCATCATATCTCTCGGAAATCCAAAGATGAATCAGACTCAGTTTCTGCCCACAGCCTTGCAGGGAAACAAGCGCAAAAATAAATGCAATATAATAAGTGCTACTTCAAAGATATGAAAGAAATGCTATTGGAGAACAAAGGATATGCAAAGTAACTCTGCCAGGGGAGAAAAGAAAAGTCTCAAGGGGCAGATACCCTCTCAGCTAATTCTTCAAAGAGGAGGAAGCATTTGTCAGGCAGAGGCAGGAGGGAGGTATTCCAGCAGAAGAAACATGAGGTGTTTTTTCTTTCTCTTTTAAAAAAAGATTTATTTATTTACGCAAACAAGAACTGGGGTGTAAGCCAGAAGTGGGGGTGGGTGAGAGGATTCACCAGAGAGAATGGGGAGCAGAACTGGCAGATCTACTGAAACACACTGCTGAGGGGAGCAGCTGGCTAGACAGGAGAGGTCTGCTGCACCATGTGGGTTGCTCCCTGGCCAGCCGGGGCTGGGGATCGAATTCGTGCTGCAGTGGCTGGCAGTAGCCTGATAGTGCTGTTTTTAACCCCTGTGCCACAAGGGAGGCCAAACACGAGGTGTTTTCTGTGCTGCTTCTGCAAGGCAATGAAGTGCACACTCCTGTGAACCCCAGACCCTGCAGGGGCACACGCTGCCTCCACATGGCCACAAGGGGACAGCAAAGCACTAGTTGCGACTGCGGAGTCAGCCCTGAAAAGCTTCTGAGAGCCATCCTGCAAATCACCTGGAGCCTTCCCCAGAATGGGCTGCCCCAGGCCTCTGACATGAGGAGGAAAAGGCTAGATTTGTTTTAGAGAAAGGAGAGTTCCCTCAAGAGTTGTACAGATGTTAATACGAACAGAAGAGTTCTCCACTGAGTTGCAAGGATCTGCACAGTATGTGCTGTTCACTCGACTAGATTTACTGTGAGCCAGAGGCCTTCCTCAACACATTCTAGTCTTCTTGGCCCTCCTAGAAACCTGTCAGGAAGGTATAATCCCAGCTCTTAGCTAGAAGGGGTTCCTATTTTGCAGATGGGGACACTGAAGCACTGGGCCTAAGTTATACAGAGAGGAAATGGCAGAATTGGCTTGGCTTCAGAGTTTGGATGCCTCCTTCGTGGCTGGCAATTCGGTGACGCTCTGGTGTGCAAAAGTATAAAACCAACTGCCCCACGGAGTCAGCATCACTTCCTTCTCTGAACTGCAGTCCTTGTCTACCACTGATGGGCTTCTCCAAAAGTTCTTTCCCAGAGTCAGATTCTCTTCCTTTATCCACAAACTGTGGAGAGGAAAGTGGCCAGGAAGCAGCAAGTTTATCTTCAAGGAGTTCAAGATGTAGAGAAAGAACCACTAAGTTAACGATTAAAACAGAGGAAAAGGGCCTCCCTGGTGGCGCATGGGGTTAAGCACCGCACTATGAGGCAATCTGCAGCCTCTGCAGCGCAAGTTCGATCCCTGGCCAGCCAGGGAGCAACCCACACGGCTAAGCGGACCTCTCCTGTCTCACCTGCCGCTCCCCTCAGCAGTGTGTTTCAGTCAGTCTGCCTGTTCTGTTCCCCATTATGTCTCTGGTGGATCCTTTCACCCCTCTACCCATCATTGGACTGTACCCCAGCTCTTGTATGTATAAATGAATAAATCTTTGGGGAAAAAAAAAAGAACACAGGTGGACAAGCGGGGGGCTGGGAGGACAGGTCTCTCCTCCTCTGACACGTGTGGAATTTGGGCAGGAGGTGTTAGGAAAGGTTTCCCAGAGTAACTACAGGGAAGGTAGGAATTAGGTAAGCAGGCAGGGAAGATGGCGTACCCAGGCAGAGGAAAAAGGATGTGAGGGCACTGTGAGCAAAAAAACAAAACCAGAAACAAAACAAAACAAAACAAAGAGAGCTCCAAGAGCTGGGTGAGAACACCTGTGAACATGGTCTAGTAATATCCATTTTAAGAGCTGGTTTTCCCTCCCCAGTGTGTAAGTGGCTTCTGTGGAGCTTCACAGCGATAACACAATAGCCTTTCCTAGGAGCTGTCGGCTACCCAACGCGTATTTGTTGAGCATCTACTAAGTGTCCTGCATAGATGCAGAGGCTAGAGTCCACCCAACTCTGACATGGGGCCTAGCGAAGTGGGAGGCCTTGCTTGCTCAGCTCCCATGGATAGGCAGACACCTCCAAGCACAGAATGCCCCCCTACTGATTACTTTAATACCACAATTACTTTAACACCAATTACTTTACTACTATTACTTTAACACCAATTTTATATCCTGTTACTTTAATACCACTTTTCTTTCATTTTTTTAGTTCTGGGGAGATTCTGATGTTATCCACTCAGCACTGCGCGGGGCTGGGATGAGAGATGGAAGAGCACAGGGAGAGTTCCTTTGTGGATGGGCAGGCCCCGCTTCGGAAAAGTAAACTGAGGTCTCAGAAATGATCACACTTCCCTCCCCCACTCTCCACTGCCGCCCTCTCCCCCCTTCCCAGGAGGCAACTTTGGTTCCTGTGATTGACATCCGACCTCCTGGCAGGAACTGTAGATTCAGTCAACATCACTCAAGAGGAAAGAATAAACAGGCATGGGGGGGTGGGGGGTATGGAGAGAGATAATAAAGAGAGGTGAGTCAGAAATAAGCGAGCTGGGGAAGGGAGCAGAAAGGATGCAGGTTATGCCAAGACCCCTGGAGGATGCTGCTGCTGCTGCTGCTGCTGCTGCTGCTCCTGGGGGCTGCCGCAAGCAGATGTCTACATGAGGAGACACAGAAGTCTGTGCGCCTTCTCAGGCCCCCTTTCTCCCAACTTCCCCCAAACACCCGCTCTTCCTCTCTCACCCTCCCTGCCTCCCATGATCCACAACCACTCCGAATCCAAACCTGCTATATAGGAGATCCTGTGTCAGATGGAGCCTGGGGTCCTGAGGAAGCTGGGCTGAGAGGGGGATCCCGAGCCGTGGCTGCAGTGAGAGAGGTTGCTCAGCGACTCCGAGGTGTCCTGGCAGGTGAGTTGGGGGACAGAAGGGTTTAGGGAGGGCTGAGGAGCAGAGGCCCAGGAGAGAAACATCACCACGGAAAAGGAACTGGAACTCTAAATGTTTAGGTGAAACCGACCTCTTGTCTTGGTTAGTCTCTCCAATGCAAGGACCTCTGCTTCTAAGTCGAGACCCTGCACAATACTGCCATGCCTTCTGGGGAGACCCAGATACCCCCAACTACCACAAGTGAGTCATATCTCTGAGACTGTTTGTGATGCCTCTTCAGATGGACCCAGTAATATCTCTGGCTCACCTACAAATATTCATTCTTGCCAGGTGTAGCCTCTTGAACCCAGGGTACAAAGGAGAGAGTTGCCTGGGGGCAAAGGTGAGAGCAACTTCTCAGACTTGGGGGTCTAAATATCTCTAGCCTGTCTGGACCTCCAAGACCATCAGCATCAGATATGCAGATTCCCAAAATGTGGCCCTTAGAAATCTGGCAATTTATTAAATCAGAGACTAGAAAGGGTGGTGGTGGCAGGACTCCCTAAGGCTGACCAAAAATAGACTTTGTGCCTGTCTCCAATTCCCCATTTTACTATTGTCCTAGCTCCCAGCCCATCCACTAAGCCAGGCAACACACCTCGCTCCCTGACAGATCCCTGATAGCCATCTCCGTGGCTATGCCCTGTGGCCGGAGCAGGGTCCCCCGCAACTGGTCCAGCCAGATGGGCCTGGGGTCCAAAACACTGATTTTCTCCTATATGTGCGGGTTGCCCACACTTCCAAATGTCACCAAGAGGTAAGGTTCAAATTCAATGTCTTTTCCCATTCTGCCTCTTGTGCTTAAATATCATGGGAAGAGTCAGGAAGCATAAACATTTTCATTAAGTTATACTTAGATGGGGTAACTTGGGGAATGCCGATGAAGTTTGGGTGGGGGTGACCCCCTCCAATCATCCTGAGAACAGCCCTGCTGAGTTTTCCGGTCTTCCCTTCTGAAGACTTCTGTGTTATGCCTCTTCTTTTCTTTGCGGCCCTTACCTCGTCCTGGCCCATCCACAGCCCTCTGTCATAGCCTATGCTGCCTGCTGCCAGCTGGACTCAGATGACAGGCCCCTTGCTGGAGCCATTGTCTACTGTGCCCAACATCTCACCAGCGCCAGCCTCAGCCACGGTGACATCGTCATGGTGACTGCTGCACAATAGGGAAAAGCAACAGGTTGGGGGTAGGGGCAGATCACTCGACTTCCCATGAAGTGGAAGAACCTACTAAGGATGGACGAGAAGGTGCCTTGAGCTCTAAAAAGAGCCGTCTGGACAGAGGGGCTGTAGAGTGGCTGGCCAATCCTGCTGCACATCCAGCGCCCTCACCCTGCAGTCTTGTCCTTAGGTCACACTCCATGAATTGCTGCATGCCCTGGGTTTCTCTGGGCAGCTCTTCAGGAAGTGGCGAGATTGTCCCTCAGGACCCGGTGGTAAATGAGAGCAGGGGAGAGGTCTTCCCACCCTGTCAACCCAGGGGGAACCACTACCATCTCATCCTTCCAATTTTCCCTCACCCTTTCTACATTTTCTTTTCCTCCTATTGTCTTCTCCTCTTTCTGTTCCCAGTAAGAGAGAACTGTTCCATCAGGCAAGGAGTGACAAGGCAAGGCCAGTGGGGACAGCTGCTTCTCACCACACCAACTGTGAGTCACAGCCTGGCCAAACATTTGGGAGTGCTTGGGATTTTACCGGGTGTTCCCTTGGAAGAAGAGGTGAGAATGAGAACACCAGGGGGTCATGGGGGGAAAAGGGAGTAGCCAGGTGGTAACCAGCTATCTCCTCCAATAGGGTTCTTTGTCTTCACACTGGGAGGCCCGACTTCTCCAGGGCTCTATAATGACTGCTACCTTTGATGGTGCCCGACGCACTCGACTTGACCCAATTACTCTTGCTGCCTTCCAAGACTCAGGCTGGTACCAAGTCAACCACAAAGCTGCAGAGGAACTATTGTGGGGCCAGGGTGAGAAATCAGGGAGAATGGCAGAGGCCTTCACAAACAAAGTCAGCTCAGGGGAAGTGAGAGATTGAAGGGATTGCCTGCTGCCAATGACAGGGTGTCTCTGGATCTGTAAGCATAGCTGGCACCGAGGAATGTTTGGGGCTTCATTGTTTCTCAGGGCTCTTTTTTAAGATTTATCTATTCATGCATACAAGAATTGGGGTAAAGGTCAGAGGTGCAGGTGGTGAGAGGCTTCTCCAGAGACAGAGTGGGGAGCAGAACAGGCAGACTGACTGAAATACACTGCTTAGAGGAGCAGCGGGCGAGACAGGAGAGGTCTGCTGTGCCATGTGGGTAGCTCCCTGGCTGGCTGGGGATCGAACTTGTGCTGCAGTGGCTAGTGATAGCTTCATAATGCTTAAGAGGCCACCAGGGAGGCCTCTTCTCGGGGCTCTTTCTCCTCCTATCTGTCAAGCAGGATCTGGCTCAGAATTTGGCCTGGTGACCACATGTGGAACTGACTCCTCAGACTTCTTCTGTACTGGCAGGTGTGTGTGCCAAGCGGGGGAGGGGCTTTGCAGCTGTCAGGGATCCTGGAGTCACTCTACCATCCCTTCCACACAGTGGACTGGGTTGCCACTACCTGCACCTGGACAAGGGACGCTGCTCCTCAGGCCCCACGCTGGAGGGCTGCCGCATGTATAAGCCCCTGGCCAACAGGGTGAGTAGACTAGAACATAGAAAGCAAGTGAGTGAGCCCGAGGAGTCAGCCTCTGAGGCATCCAGACAAACACTATCCTACCTTCTGCCCTGCCCTTCAGAGTGAATGCTGGAAGAAAGAAAACGGATTTCCACCAGGGGCAGAGAATCCCCATGGGGAGATCTACCATCCCCAAAGTCGTTGCTTCCTTGCCAACCTCACTTCACAACTGCTCCCTGGGGGACAGATCAGGCATCCCTCTCAGACCCCACACCTGAAGGAAGTGGAGCTCACAGGCCGATGCTACTTACACCAGTGCACAGAGAGAGGCACCTACAAGGTGCAGGTGGAGGGATCACCCTGGGTCCCCTGCCTTCCAGGAGAGGCTGTTCAGGTGGGTGTCTTCAGTGGGAGAGCTGCAGTACACTGGACACTTGTAAATGCACGTAAGGGAGAACTAGCCAAGCTGTTCAGACGCTCGTTCATTTTCTACCCAGTACCCACAGAGTCCATGACTCAGATGAAGATGGCACATTTTCTTTAGGAGAACCCACAGGTCTATACTGTACCCTATGTGTTTCCTTGCAGATACCTGGGTACCACGGTCTTCTCTTCTGTCCCCGGGGTCGGCTATGTCAGACTAATGAAGATATGGATGCTGTTCCTTCTCCACTTGTGACACTTTCAACCAGAGACCTGTTACTCCAGCTTTCCATAGGATTAGGCGGACCCCCAAGTCACTACCTGGGGAAGGAAGAGCGAGAAGAGCTGGCAGAAGCAGTGCTACAGGCTCTGGTGAACAGAGGAGGTGCCGGCAGGTAAAGGGACAGTTAGGCTGAGAATTTACACAATGGGCAAGGAGAATCTTTTAAGTCCTTTGCGTTATGACTGTTCTCTGAAGACTTTCTGTTCATGCCACTCCTAAGCCTGCACCTTCCATTAGATATACTCTTCCTGGTACTGTACCTCTATTAAGAGATGCAAATATCCATTCAGGTGCTACTTCCACAGTCCCTCCATTACCACTAGTCTGGTTTTCACTGTACAAGTACGGAAGTCCCCTGGCTGCCAAGGGCCTTTGGCTGATGAGCTGCACAGGGCCCTGACCCTAACTCTCCAGAAGAAGCCGCTGGAAGTATTTTATGGAGGATTCCAATTTACCACAGAATACAGCAAGTAAGATAACATTCCTAAGTTTTCTTTCAAATTCCTGGAGTCCAGCACTCCTCACATATACCACCCAAGTTAGTATACATGGGATATGTGTCCTATGGGACACTTCTTCACACACGCACACACAAATAATGGGGAGCTACTTCCTTTCTTAAGCATTATCCCAGCACCGTTTCTACTTACTTAAATGCCATAGTTTGACTCTTTCCTATAGCCACTTCCCTCACTGCCACACTTCCAACAATTAAGCCAGACTTGGATGGTGACCTTATTCTTATTTTTGGGTTCTATTTTCTTTTTTTAAAAAAAGATTTATTTATTTATGTATACAAGAACTGGGGTATAGGCCAGCAGTGTGGGGTGTGTGTGTGTGTGTGTGTGTGTGAGAGGATTCACCAAGACAGAGTGGGAAATAGAACAGGCAGACTGACTGAGATACACTGCTGAGGGGAGCAGCGGGCAAGTCAGGAGAGGTATGCTGTGCCATGTGGGTTGCTCCCTGGCCGGGGATAGAACTTGTGCTGCAGTGGCAAGTGGATAGCTTCATAGGTCGTCTCTTAAACCCTTGCGCCACCAGGGAGGCCTTGGTTCTATATTCTCAATTTCCTGTTTTAGCTTACTAAGTGAAGTAGAGTTTCATGAATTGTGGCTTATAGTAAAGCACTTCACCCCTTGGGCCTCCTTAGTGGCCTAGGGGTAAGTCTCAGCACTATAACTGCTATGGCCTGAGTTCAATCTCCAGCCAGGAAGCTGACCCACATGCCCAGCAGACCTCTCCTGTCTCACCCGATGCTCCCCTTAGCAGTCTATTTCAGTAAATCTGCCTGTTCTGCTCCCCACTCTGTCTCTGGTGAATCCTCTCACCCCCACACTTCTGGCCTACACTCCAGTTCCTCTATGCAAAAATAAAAAAAAAGCACGTCATCCCCTAAGCTTAGAAATATTCCAAGCCAAATATTACCTCTTACCTCTTTCCTAGGCTGCTGGTTACCTCGGGCCATAATCTGTCCATGACCCGCCTAGGTCTCTCTGTGGCACTCTGCCTAATGTTACTCATCCTGGCAAGTACACTGGGGACCGTGGCCTATCAGAAGCGAGCTGGTACTCAGGTGGGACCATCTGTCCCTGACCACTCACCAGAGGCCCAAGGCACAACAGGGGTTCTGGCTGGAGGAAGTGTGATGTCACCCAGAGCATGAAGGGGGTCAGTGGAAATATTTCTTGGAAGACAAGTGGATGAAAAGCTGAGCTACTGTCCACACTTAAGTTCTACTTTTCTCAGAATGCCTTTCTCTGTATTGCAACTTAATGCTATACCAGCTTTGCAATAAAAAGGAGATTTAAGGTTCTGAAAATTTATTTTAATACAAGAAAACCCCTTCAACTAGTAATGAGCTTTTTTTTTTTCCCCATGTTGTCAGGAAGCACTTACAGAATAGAAATAACTGCTACCAGCACCAAAAATATCACATATGCTTTAGAAAAAGTCACTTGATTTGGATTCAAACAAACATCAGTGTGGAGCAAGTAGTTATCTTCCTCTCCTGACTTTCCATAATTTTACTGAACCATCACTAGGAAAGTCAGTGGTTGGGATGTCGCATAATTATGCTAGAATCTGTAAGGGTAGTGAAACCAGTCATCTGAGTCCAGCTAAACCATAAAAATACAATCTTTATTGCTCTTCTCTCTTGCTTTTGGAGTAGGGCAAGCCCTGCTTTAAACTCCTTGGACCAGCAGGCTTGAGTTGTAATGTATAGGTTCTTTTCATTATAGCTGCAAAAGAAGTTATTAAGTTTTTAAGGGTTTGGCATCTCCTAGAAAGCAAGAGAGGAAGACTGTTGATCTGGATTTGCTGAGATGGAGATGGAAAACATTTATACTAGGAGTTCAGTGCATATGCTGTTAACGTTGAAATAACCAGGTCTACAGTGCTCAGCAATTTCGGTCAGCTGATTGGGATACCAGCCCCATATTTTTAAGTGACACATACGAAGTTCATGCTGTAGAGTTGTGGTTTTTGATCCGTCAGCTTTGGTCATCTCTTTTATTTTTTTTTTTAAAGATGTATTTATGTGTACAAGAACTGGGGTGTAGGCCAAAGGTATGGTGGATGAGAGGATTCACCAGAGACAGAGTGTGGAGCAGAACAGGCAGATTTTACTGAAATACACTGCTGAGGGAAGCAGCGGGCGAGACACAAGAGGTCTGCGGCGCCATGTGGGTCAGCTTCCTGGCTGGGGATCGAACTAATGTTACAGTGGCTCACGATAGCTTGATAGTGCTGTCTTTAACCGCTGCACCACCAGCGAGGCCCCCATCTTCTTTTATTTTAATGTCCATCAGTCCTTACCAGCTGTAGCAGCAACTGCTTGGTAAAATTTTGCCACGAAGTCAGGCTCACTGACCTCCAGCTGCCTGACAAATTCATTGCGCTCCTGCTCAGCCCAACCTCGAAACCACTGATCCCAAAGACGTAGCTGGCACTCAAAGATACAAGGTGGTCGGTATGCCCCAGACACACTAAGCTGCTCCAGACCTTCCAGTAGTGGCTGTAACTTTCCTGGCACAGCCTTAGCTACCAAGTCCTGTAGGAAACGCTCACGCTGAGGTCCTGACCAACTGGCAAACCAGTGAAGAATACACTTCATCTCCTGGGAAGTGATGTAAGACATTGGGGGAGGGGAAGAGTTAGTAATACTGTCTGGCACTGAGGGAAAGGGAGAAAGCAGAGATGGTGGCATCCAAGATGATGATGATTCCAATGGCATCCTGAAATACAAAAGCACTGTTGTTACATACTCTCTAGACAGAGTGACCAAAATAGAACTTCCCACAAGGAATCTTACCACACTCAGTCACCATCTACACAGGAAATTACTTTTCACCAATTCGATTTACAGGAAAACAAAGTCCTTCATTTAGTTTTCATGAATAACTTCATTTTATATCTGCCAACCTTCCTATATTTCAAATTTGCCAGCTCCTGTGTGCCTCCATCATTTTTATATAGATTCTAAAAATAACCAACGTATTTCATGCTCATTTTCTCCCACCTACTTCCATATTCCAGGTTGAGTAAAGAACAAAACAAAAACTAATGTTGGTCCAAGTCGTTGTCCCTAAAATGAAATATGGTACATTTTTAAATTTACCACATGCAGCTGGTCAGGACCTGTACTTTAATCACTCCACAGCTATCAACAATGGGAAAAATAAATAAATAACATCATATGAAAAAGAATCTTCTTTGCAAAGTGTATACTGTCTCTGAAATATGCCAGGTACTTCACAGCATTGGTTACTTCCTTTATTTATTCCTATAAAATACCAGGAAAAATTAAAAAGCAGAGTAAGTGAGGGCACCTGGCTCAAAATAATATAACACAGTAAGAATAGCATAAGTCACGTATTTATTCGAGACTGAAAAAAGTCTAAATGGTTTGGTGACTTAAGAACCTAACAAGTGTTACTAATGCAGATGTGTGACAATTTATGTCTTTGAACAATTTTCATTAATTAGACATTAAGAATATTTATTGATGCCTGCCATTGATTTCCATCACTTATGCAACTGGGTCAACTAACTCGAACAGTTTGAATCTCTAAGAATGAAAATTTTAAACTATTTGTCTATGACCTATTTTACTGTTTGTATTTCTTCTGTTGTAAGCTGGAGTATTTCCAGTGACAAAGAAAGGGAACCCCTAACCATTAACATCTGTTCAGGTCCAAAACAGTCTAGGGAAGTATTTTCTTTCCCTCAGTGATGTACATGAAGCAATTCCTTCTAAAGAAACTTTATTCTCTCATTCAGAGAAAGGGAGAACTGTTCCCGAGTCCTGTGACACGGCCCCCACAGCAAACTCAAGTTCAATGATCATGAATTACTTCAGTCTAGGTCCAAAGATAAGGTGTTGCCCACTTTGAAGGATACGGAGTCTGGCACTCCAAGGTCCCAAAGAATAGCCCTAGAAAGGAGTGGTGGGGATTCAGGGCATGGGAGGCGGAAGCTGTTTCCGTAAGGGAAGGGGAGGCTCGTCCTATTAGCTGAACCCGCGAGCACCGGGCCTGACCGGGCCCAGGAACGGACTTCTACCTCGCTTACCTCCCCTTGTCTCTCACAGGGTACCCGGAGACCGTCTCAAGAGTACTTAGATCCCAACTATCGCCGCGCTTCCATATTTCCTGAAAACCCTAAACAGGGCCAGCCCGGCAGCCCACGCACTTCCGGCGCCGGACCAGCCCCAAACACCCAAGCGCCTCAGCGCCCCAACCTTAGGTCCGGAGATAGCCGAGTAACTCCGACTGCGGCTATGCCAGAGTCGAGGCATTCCGAATAGATTCGATTCAAAGCCTCGGTAAGACGAAGATAACCGAGCTCTAAAAGCAAGGGAAGGGAGGGGCAGCGGCTGAGAGGATGGACAGAACCGATTGGTGCCGATGTGCAGACGGAAACACCCGAGCAGCTCCGTAGGAACCCGGGGAGTTTTAAGTGGTAATCGAGGGGCTGACTACGGCAGTGGGCGGGGTCAGTTCGGTACGTTCGAAGGGCGTTGGCGGAAATTACCGAAGATGCCCGAAGCCGTCGGGACGGACCCGAGTACCTCACGCAAGATGGCGGAGCTGGAGGAGGTGACTCTGGACGGGAAGCCTCTTCAGGCGCTCCGGGTGACCGACCTGAAGGCCGCATTGGAGCAGCGAGGCCTAGCCAAGAGCGGGCAGAAGAGTGCCCTGGTCAAGCGGCTCAAGGGGGTGAGGAGACGGCGTTGCCGGGGTTTCGGAGGGGAGCGGACCCGGTAGAGACGAGTCTCTGCCGCGGCGCAGGCGCAGTGTCGGGGCTCGGCGCGAGCTCGCTCAGGCCGCCAGCGCGAGCCTCGGGATCCGCGCGCACGGTGGTTGGTGGGGCTCGCTCTGGAATAGAGATAGCGCCGGTTCCCGCCTTAACGGCAGCGGCGCGAGCCCAAAATGGGAGGGTGCGCGCTACTCTCCCGGAGTGTCTTAAGCTCCTTCCTTCTTCCCCCACCCCCTCCTTGTTTGTGTCTGTGGTTTCGGCGCATGCGCCGCTCAAGGAGTTAAATCCCACTACTACCACCGGCGTTGCTGGCCTGAGGGGGGCGAGTGGGGCAGGGTCGGAGTTAGGGGTATAGTTGGGCTGCGGGGTTGGTGGGGTAAGTATCGGTATCCGGAAGAATAGGGTTGAGGTAGGGTAAAAGAAAAATGTCTGCTTGATTAGGTTAGGACGCGAAATGAAGAGAAGCCTTGATTTGAAGGGACTTGGCTAGAAAGGGGTGTATAATTTATAGGATATCCCGAAGCAATGGGGGTGTGTGAGAATTGGGTGGGTATTGATGTGAGAGGTGAAGCAGGTTGGTGTATGCTGGGGGCTTGGAATCTGTTTGAGTAGGTTAGGGTGGGATTGTCATGAGGTAGGTAAATGGATTTTGTGTATAGGTTTGGTGTAAACTGAGAAGGGCTGGCTAGGAAGTTTTGGTTTGGGTTAATTAGAATACGAGGTGAGTAGTTTAGATTAAGGCAGGCTTGGCCCAAGGGTTAAGTTGGCAGACCGTTGCTTCTGCAGAAGCTGGCCGTTTCCTTTCCCTCCCTCTCTGGGGATTGGGTCAGACCAGTTTTCCAGTCTGGTCATTTTGTTCTGTAGCCTCCTCTTGAATTTTTATGACTCTTGGTAAATCTAGGTGTCACTCTGAAAACTATACAGATTCACTCAAGGTAGCTCTAGTTCCTGGTAACTGACCAAGTGATTCAGTCGGGCCCAAAGCAGAACCTCATGTTGGTTTCATGTATTTGAAACTGATTTGAGTGATTTTACCTGCAAGGCCGAATTTAGAAGGGGCACTAGTCAAAAGTGCAGAAGAGAAGAGAGAGTGCAGTACTGGTTCTATCACTGTCGCTGATTTGCTTACGCAGCCAGGTGACTGATTTTCGGTGTTCCTGCAATTTTATGTCTGTGCATTTGGGAAAAGTAGCTGTGGCTACCTTTAAGGGTCTTCTGAAGATGAATGAGAAAAGTATTAGTAAAGGGTCTTTGGGTCCTTGGAAAAGGAATAGTGTGTAAGTGTGTATGGATTAGTCATTAAATTTAATGAACTGATTGGGGGAGGGGTGTTTTATTTTTCCCTTGGTGTCTGATTTTTGCCCTTTTCTGTAACAGGCTCTAATGCTAGAAAATTTACAGAAACACTCAACACCCCATGCTGCATTCCAGCCAAATTCCCAGGTAAGAAAGAAGGTTCGTTAGGTGAGGCAGGCTCTTGTGATGTACAGACACATTGAAGGACATGATATTGTGTATTTGGTGCCTAATTTCTCATCAGTGTTTTCCTAAGTTCCCTGATTTGGAAGTTTTCTCATACCATGACAGCTGAATTTTAATCAAGCCTACAGTAAAGAACAGAATCAGGAATTACTAATTTCTAATACTTGAAATGGTATGTGCAAAAAGATGTGACTAGTTGATTAAGTGCAGTGCAGACATATGAAGTCTTTTATTCACCATTGATTTGGAGAAAGTTGATGTCTTTAAATGTAGATATGAAGTAGACAGTCAATAGGACAGTATAGGAAAATACTTGCTGATCAAGAAGAACTCTTGTATTGACATAGGTTTCTAAGAATGCAATCCTTAGGAAAGCCACCATTACTAGTGTCAGCTACTAACTATGGAGTTACTTTTAAACAGTATTATCTCTCTTATTTAGGGCAAGATGCTTAACCTTTGGAGGGCTTGGTTTCCCTAATTTCCTTATGTATGATGTGAAACAAGATTGGAATTGATCCATAATTTTATAACTGCTCTGTGGGGTTTTGTGGAGTTGCTTTAAGGGACTTCTTTAGGGAAGATACCTTCTTTGAAAGTGAGTAGGGAGGGCCTCCCTGGTGGCGCAGCGGTTGAGCACTGGGTTGCAAAGCTGCCCACAGCCTCTGCAGCGCCAGTTCTATCCCCGGCTGCTCCCTGGCCACCGGAGGAGGGTCCCACATGGCGCACAGACCTCTCCTGCCACCCGCTGCTCCCCTCAGCAGTGTACTTCGGTCCTTCTGCCTGCTCTGCCCCCCCCCCGCCACCCGCCCTGGCTCTGGTGAATTCTCTCATCCTCCCGCGCTTCTGACTATACCCAGTGCTTAAATAAATAAATATTTTTTTAAAAAAAAGAAAAGAAAGAAAGTGAGTAGGGAGGGGTTCACTCTCCGCTTTTAAACTACCTTGGTTCTACTTTAATCTGCTGTGTATATTGACTTTATGTATTACATATTTTTAGATGAAATAATTCCATTTTTGTTTCCCAAACACCTAAAGTCTTAGACTGTGTTGAGATTCTTTTCAGCTTTAAAATTCCCTCATTATAGTGTTAGACACTTAAAGGAAAAATCCAGGTCTTTGTTAGTGCAGTGGTGTGCAGCTCCAGTCTAGATGAAGTCCCAAGATACTGTGGAAAAACAAGAGAGCCTTCCTACTCCCTTGCTATCACCTCATTATGCTGTAAGTATCTAGACAGCTTTCAGAGGTTTAGTTAAGAACTTTAACAAGCATAAGAAATGAAGTAAGTTAATCAATTTAGGATTATATTCCTTTTACCCATTGGATTTTAGTCTTTGAAACTTTGTTTTATGGAGAATATATCTATTCTCTAGATCAGTTGAGTAGCAAGAGATTCATTTCTACTTTAGGTGAAAATAAACATTTACCATGCTTAAGAAAGATAACTAATGACATAGAAAGTATTCAGATTTTCTCCTTTTTTCTGGAGTTTTGATAAAACTTATTAAACAAGAAGGTTCTTAGGAGGAGGACTTGTACAGAGAAAGCCAAAGGGCAAAAGGGTGACATGGGAGTCTGCTGCAGAAAAAAATGGGAAAAGGGATTAAGCTCCTGGATTTTAAGTATTGTTGCAAAGAATTTCTTCTCATCCAAAGAAAATGGAGTTCGAACTCTGTCTAAATGTTGACTAGACACATCCCTCTCCTTAGTCTCTTGACATTATGCTTTTAAAAACTGTACTTAAAATTTGGAGATGTGTGACAAAATGTTTCCTGGCTAAGAAGAGATTGATCTTTTGTGTCAGTTAAAGATGAGCTAGTATGAACTAGTAATTTCTCTCTCAGTTTTGGCATTACTAGGAGGAAAAAAATTTGTTTTTAGATAATTTAGATTATTTAAAACAGGTTCAAAGGCATAATTTTACACAATTTTGATTTCAAGTTATTTGTGCATCACTCTTTGGGAACTAAATATTTGAAATAAAAAGTTATGTGCTGTCTTTTGTGTTTCATAGGACTTCATTTTGTTCAGTATAGGAGTAGCTTAGGAAAGGGCCTTCACCTTTCTTGGACTCAAACATAAGGGGTAGATCTTTGCTCCATGGAATTTTCTTCCTTGCATTTTCCTGCTTTGCTTTCCTAGACTTTCATTTTCCATGTTCTCTATACAGATTGGCGAGGAAATGAGCCAGAACAGTTTCATAAAGCAGTATCTGGAAAAGCAGCAGGAACTACTTAGACAGCGTCTGGAACGTGAAGCTCGAGAAGCTGCAGAACTTGAAGGTAAGCCCAGACTGTCACTTCTTACAAGGAGTTCTTCATTCTTACTCCTGTCATTGACTAGATGGGCCTGTTTAACTAGGCAATTTCAGGAATAGGTCAAGCTGAAAATACTACTTATTTCTGTTGATAGTTTATGGAGCCAAGTGAGTTACTGTTTACCCTTTGTCAAGGGAAGAAGACTCTTAATTTGACTATCTTAGAAATCCTGCCAACAGGAAGCGTTAGAAGTAAATGAATCTATACTTAGATGAGGTAGACCTTAATCTTAGGGAGTTTTTTTCTTTGTACAGTGCTCTTTTTAGTATATGCTCTGTATCCGTGACTTTGCCTGACCTCCTTCACTCCTCTACATATTCCCACATGCTGAGCCCTTCACTCCCTCCCTGCCCCGACCCAATCTGTACTTTGCAGAAGCTTCAGCTGAGTCGGAGGACGAGATGATCCATCCTGAGGGAGTGGCTTCCCTGCTGCCTCCTGACTTTCAGAGCAGCCTGGAGAGAGCAGAGCTGGAGCTCAGCAGACATTCGCCCAGTACGTATCTCCCTCCCCACTGCGCTATTTTGTCAATCCTGCGTAGTTGGTGGGGGGAGGTAGTTAGCCTCCTTTCATACTAAGCCTCCATAAAGTCCCAGGAAAATTCTGTGACATTGATATTTGACATCTGTTTTTCATGGAAATGATGTCCTTTTTGAAATTTGCTTTCACCTCGATATTGTGTTAACCTCTCAGAATGTTTTATAAAACAGTGTGATTTTTCTTCTCATCTGTACCTCTTTAACCTCTTCTGTCTCTGAATTTAGCAACAGTCACAATTTTTTCCCATCTCTTAACCATTATGTATATTGTGTGTTGCACAACTAGTCACCCTTCCCAAACAGGCATCAGTCAGCTGCAGTTGATGAATCCATTCAACAGATTTGTATTGTGTGCCTATTGCATGCCAGGCATCTGCTAGGCACCAGGAATAAAGTAGAGAAAAAGACAAATCTCTGGACTAAATAAACTTGAGTCTAGTGAGATGAGCGTTAAACACATTGTTACCTAAAGAATTACAGTTGTGCCCATGCTATGAGAGGCAGTGCAGAATATTATGTGAGCATATTACTGAGGCCTCTAACCCAATGTGTGTGGTTGATTCAGGCAAGATTAATTTTTTCATGCTATAAAAATACTAAGCACTAGTTTTGCATAGCATTTCAATCAAAAGTCTGCAAATGCAGCTTTTGTCTTCTAAGAAGTACCTGCTTAAAACAGTATAC